CAGGTACACATGAGGAGGCAGTGGCACTGCTTGTGATGCCTGGCTTGCCTTGATTCACCCCTGCTGTCACAATGTGGCTGCACGTACACAGAAACCGTGCTTGGGATGAAAAAATGTCACTAGTGACAAAAATGTATGTGTCTACATCATTAGATTAAATTCTGCCCCTGAAGTAATGCCTGTTTTATCTGTGGATGATGTACCTTGGGATTTCAGTGCCTAAATTCCACCTAAGTTTCACTTTGAACAGTTAAGTGCTTTTTGGTTCTGACATCTAGCAGCTCCACATTTAAGCACATAGCGCAGCAGAAACATTGCTGAAAGACATGTAGCTGCTTAGGGCAAGAAAATTGTGCCTCCCTAATATACTAAAACTAAGTTAATCATGCAGCTGCTGAAAGCAAAGGGATGGTTGATGTAATTTATTTGGATTTTAAAAAGAAAAAATGATCCATGTAAAAATAGCCCTACCAAGAAGCCATTAAAGCAAACCAGTATCGAGGCACTTGTGCACTAGAAATTAAGACATAGAGCAGGATTAAATGGTAATTTTAATATTTTTTTTACTATGGCGAAAGGCTAATGGCAGAGTGCCCCGAAAAGGGGATGAACATGCTATCTGAAAGGTGGCCCTGTTTGCTGTCAACAGAGAATTATTTCAGCTGATCAGAACTAGGGAAGATTGTGAATGACCTGGGTTAACAAAGTGAAAAAATGGGCAGTGTGATGCAGATGAAATGCAATGCTGACAAATGCAAGTTCGGGCACAGATTCAGGGGAATAATTGGCAGTATATATAGGCTTTGTGGAGTTCTAAATTAGCTGTAACTATTTAGGTAATTACTTGCTATGATCAGCTCAGTGGAAAAACTAGTATTGTGAAAGGGTACTGTGAAAACAAAAGGTGGTATGAACCCATATTGGGGAAAAACTAAGAAAAAAAGAAAAAAACCCCAAACAACCAAAAAAATAACCCCCAAACCAATATATAATAGAAAATACAATTCCATCCATAAATCAACAATAGCAATGCACCCAAAATTTTGTTTGTGCCCTAGCTCTTAAAGTAATTCTGTGGACTGGCAACTAAATTGTTAAGAGAAATGGTGGAGGCTGAAAATAAGTATTTGTTTAAAAAGGAGTCAAGTAGTAAGAGTCAGAGGGGAACTACTTAAAACAATTAATGTTATAAAGAATACAGGCTTTAAAAGTTTATCTTAATGCAAGAAAGGAACAAAGTGGTATATTTAATGTGAATGAGAATTAATTATATTCATGAAAGCCTTGTTAACCTTTAGGATTCTTCCTCTCTCAAGCAGTCATGGAGACTGAAAGTTCAGCAGTATTATACTATTTTAAAGCAATTCTTAGCCTACATGAGGACTGGACCAGTTATTCCAGACAGGTATTCAGTGCTGCTTATTCAGAGATCCTGCTTCTCCATTAGAAAAGGCTGTACAGATACTAGCCTGTTGCTTCCTATTTGTGACTCAGACCTTCTAACGTGCATGGATGTTTTATGTGCTCAGCTTTGCTGACTCTAAACTTTAAATGGGTTGAAAGTGCTGCTTATGTTGTGCCAGAGCTCCTACTCCAATGCAAGGAGATGTGCACCCAAGGAAGAAATGGTTAAGAATTACTTAAGCTTGGCTGTAGAGGAATTTTCTTGATCGAAACCTACCTATTCTGAATGCTGTTTCTGCAACTGGGACTTTCCCTGTCTGGGCTCCTGGACTGATGACTTCAGCAGCTGCTGCCTTATATGGAATGGTCCTTTAAAATCTCCTGGCTGCTGAGTTAAGTTTGCATGATTTTCAGCAGCATTTATAACCACTCAGGCTGCACCACGATGTGATCAGTCTCACGTGCCAGGAACTTTGATGGGGAGCAGTTGAGATTAATAACGACATTATACAGTAAAAAGAGATACTAATGCTCTTAGGCATGAATTAATGAAATACCATTGAGAATTCATCCTGCATGAAAAAAAGGATTTGGAAGTTGTCATTCTAAAAACTGTATGAAGTATTTTACTGAAAAAAACCCCCACAACTCCAAACACACTGTTGAAATAATCTTAATTAAACTTTACTCCAGATTTTTGTCAGAACTGGATGATGGAGCTGGATCCGTTCATGTAATTCCTGCTAATTTACAAAACGCTTATATAAACAAGAGGCACAGATCTCTTGCATCCAGGGCTGTGGCTGGACTAACTTTTAGCCTCAGCCCAGTGCAAAGATGGATTCCCACCTGTGGTGTAGTTGTAGAGACTCACTCAGCAGGCCAGTAGCATCCATACATTTGGGGTCCTTATCTCATAGTGCAACCATACAGTGAGATCCTTGCTTACTGAAATGGCAGCAATGTTCTTCATAGATGTGGAAGGTGACTGTCACCATCTATTAAAAAAAAATGAGGTATGCTTTACTGTGACCTGGCATAAGTGCCTTTGCAGAGCTACAGCTGAGGTAGAATAGAGGAACTACTGCTATGTCCCATCACCTTTCATTCTCCATCATCCCCTAGAATTAGTGAGTTAGAATGCCAGTGATGGTGTTGTGTGTGTGTATATATATAATTGTCTACCTGTAACATCTTTTTTTAAAAATAATTTTATTCAGGGATAAAGCTTTACACTAGCATATGTTGTCATATAATCAAGTTTAGAAGACAAATTTTGTTAGCTTTGAGGCAAAGTGGGATAACAACAGTACATAGTGACTGTTTACTTTTTTGTTGTTGTTCTGTTAATGTCTGTTCTGAGTAGTTCAGAAAAAAATATCCTTCAAAATTAGGACATAAAATGACACATATTTTATCCATAACTTCTGTCAATTCGAAACACCTTTTATTGCCTACATAAGTGAATATATGTAAACTTTATTAGTAATTTCATTTCAAATTTAAAAGAAGCGAAGGTGTATTGTAGAATTCACAGATAAAGGTTAATTTTAACTATAAAGGTATTATTACCAGTGTTGCATTTCTTCATGTTACGGTTCACTTATGTAGTATTGAGATGTATTTTATATTAAACAATGCATAGCACCATTATACAACAGTTCACTAAATTCACATCCCATTTAATCTTTTGTAGAAATTAATATAACTGGACTGAAGTTACAAGGAAGAATTGAACTGAGCCAGTAGGGTTAACATTAACAGGAGATTACTAGCCATAGGAAAATTACAGCTCTTCGGAAAGACAGTGCGTAAAATAGCAGCATATCCTTGGCACCATTGTAGGAACTGGTTAACTGATGACCCTGAAGAAACACTTGTTTCCATTAATTCTGCTGTCATAATTTTGCTATTTTCAAACTCTTCCTCTGAATTCTTCTGTCCTTCTGATCCCAAGACAAGATGGCAGGAACGTGAGAAGAGAACCTAAAGAAATTACAAGAAGCTGTCGGCTATATAATTATACTGTAACCTACTACACTGAGAAGTTACACCAACAGAAATTTGGCAAGGTATCTGCTCCTAGCTGCTAGCTAAACACAGGACACTCACTAGCTTAACATTAAAAAAACCAAGTTCACTAAAAAGCAACATCTACTTTACAAAGAAGCTAACAAAAGAACTCCCTTATGATACTTAGGTTCAGCTGGTTTATCTTAGGTTCATCAGCTACTTTTTCTTGTTCTATGAGTACTTGTTACATTTGCAGTTGAATATATATTTATGACCACAAGTCTACAAACCTTGTTCCAGCTTGTAGTTTTGCCACCTTTAGCTACAAAGGAGTACTTGCCTGAATTAGGGTTGACGATTCTGCCAAATGTTGGTGATGTTATTAGGTCACGTGTACTGTAATTACTTGAGCACCACTATTTTTAAATCCCTAAGACATGATTTCCTAGGTAGAAGGCAGCAAGTATGCTTTTAAGTTGCCAGGCAGATCAAAGGAGTAATTTTTGCTCCAAAGAGTCTGCTGTATACCCTGAATCAGAATGAATTCTTATTTCATAAAGACTTCAGATTTTTTTAAAGCATCTCTACTAAATAGAAAAGTAAACAGTTTTCTATTAGATTTTAAATGTTCTTGTGACACTACCACAAACACAGTAACTTTTAAGTGTAAGGACCATACTGGCAAGCGTTGCCAGTAGGCTCTATGGTGCAGTCTTACCCAAAATACTTTTCTGAAAGTGAAACTTTTTTTCAAAATCCATCAATTTATTTTTCAAATGGACTTTATATATTCCAATGCATTAGGAGGTAACAGAATTGATAGGGCTTTCAAATGAATTTTTGCTGCTGTCATACATCTAAGTCCCAGAGGCCACAGATAAAAACCATGCCAGGGCATTAATTTTAGCATTATCTGGAAAAACACAGTTTTTGGTAGTGGTAACAAATGAAGGCCTTAGCATTATGTTTGAGAGGCCCTGCTTGAGAGGAATGAAAGAGGCTTGAGAATCAAAACAACAAAGGCTTCAGCCTTCCAATTTTGCCACTGATTTGTAGCTAACATCTTGGGCATCAGCTGCCTTCTGCAGTTCCCTAGTCTGATAAAAATAGGGACCATCATGCTTATTTATCTAATGCAAAACAGTGCTGTGATGGATTAATTATTTAGATAGCACTTGGAGTGCTATCCAAATGCTGCTTATTCATGTTTTCCCCACTGCAACAATATATCTTCATCACTAATAATAAACCACTAATTACAGTTGCCAAGAACACGAGAGTGGTGTTTACCACCTTATTTTAAATTTCATGACAGATGCCTACTTAAAAGTTATGTAAATATATGAAATTACAGTACATTTTTCTAATGACCCTGCTATGTCTTTTGATCCTATCCAAATTTTGACTACAGTAATGAATAGTAAAGATGACCTCTCTTCTGTAGAGCTACATAGACAGTTTCTACTGTATTCTCAATGTTTAAATCATGAAATGTAAAGAAGCCATTCTAAGCAGGAGACAGCTGGGTCGAAGGACTGCTGATGCCAATTATGCTTTGTACATAATAATGCACATTTTACCTATTTGGAAAAAAATTCACATTTATTTACTGTCAAACAGGTGTTAAACTTTACACTGGATGTTAGTGATGGGCTCATTATTAACAGGTTTACACAAAGGGATGAAAAAAGCAGAATTTTTTTGAAACAATTTACATTTCATTAGATTTTTATCATAAAATAAATTAATTACTAAATATAGGCAGAAGGAATATGGAAGAGTAATAGTTATGTTTTATTTATTTCTTTTAAGGGCAGGCACCTTTTATTCACGAGAAAGCTTGTGAGAAGTGTCCAGTGTCCCCTTTACCCCTTACCACCCAACCCTGACTAAAGAATGAACAGGGAATTGAGTTACAATCTTTGTTAGCTATACCAAATTTGTGCAAGGCTTGGCATAATTGGCTTCTAAAACAATTTCCTCCCAAAATTACAGTTTTTTTGGCAATCAAAATTCAAAACATAATAGAAACTAATGTCAAAGCAGAACACTGTTTACAGTGAAAAATAAGTGAAAATGGGTAGAACTTCAGTTTTAAACATACTACTGTACTATGAACAGAGTGTAAGAAAAACAGCTTATAACATATGTGCAACCAAGAGCTTTTCACAATATTTTCTTCAAACTCTTTTAATTTTTTTTAATGACCATTATATTTCAGTTGGACACAAATGTATTTACTTTACCCTAGCAATAGAACAAAATATAATTTCTTTAGCCATTTTTTCATTTGAACGGTTCATTGTACACTTGAGGAAATATATGAAATAAGGCCTGTGGCTTGATTGCTAGTGGTTAGACATGTATTCAATCTTTGCCCTATTGGAAAAGATTTGCAGTGAACTGCAAACTGTTGCAGAATGTCTCTCCTGCTTTTGCAAGTCTTGTCAGGAATAGTAAGGTACAGTAAATTTGTCCCACAGGATTTTAGTGCCTACGCCTTGTATATAATACAATGTAGGCCTAGGAAAAAAAAATGGTGCAGCCATATTTACAAATTTAGTTCACAAACTGCTGCAGTAAAATGGCTGGAAAGTGTTTATTTCTCTTTTTTTTTCACAATTTTGTTAAATTCAGCAGCAGAAATTATCTTAAAATACCTTGTTGGTATTTCTTTTCTTTGTAACAAATAATTCATTTTAGTATACTCTGTGTATATACAAAGTTTTTGTTTTATAAAAATTCACAGAACTGTGAGGTCCAGTCATCCCCGTTACTGGAGAACCACAGGGTCAACAGAATTGTCTCTTCAAGCAGATATGAGGGAGAGCCTGCACGGGGCCAGTTAAGTCTTTTTAATACTCATACGTGGCCTTTAATATTTCTTTGCTACACTGTTAAAGGCTTGTCACTAGTTGCATTTGTCCTTCTCTAACATCCCCTTCTGGGATACATCCTTCCTTGTTAATGGGAATTATGTAGCCGTCGCTGTTACCCCTGCTGATTTGATAGTACATCTGAAGCTGATGGCCAGCTCCTAGGTTTGGCATGCTCTTGTAGTAAATGTCCTCATTTTCACTCCTTCTGGAGGGAGAGAGATCTTCTTCAACATCGGGGCTGCTCTCTGGATACGGAGAGTCTCTGAGGTTGGGCATGCTTGTGTAAAGAGAGTCTCTGTTGGGGGACTGGAGGTGGTCATCAGCCTCAGCTGTCAGCTGTGAGACGTAGCTGTCGGTTCCTTCGGTCTTCACTTTCTTCTGGGGCTGGTATAGAAGGGAGTGAGTCCGTTGAGGAATGAGTGGGGCCTCAAGTTCTTTGTGGTGGAGCTCCAGCCCAGGAGTGTCACTGTGCATCAAAGATGAGGCATCTGCTACGATGGCATCATCTTCGCTACTGCTCCCACCGATCACCGCTTTGGCCGGTAGCGTGCGCTCCAAGTTGTGGTTCTTGCTGCTGCCCCGCAGGTTGTTGTGCACTAGTTCTGAAATGATCATTTTCTCAAAAGCAGTATCATTCAGACTTAGTCCACAGTCTACAACTTGCACGCTGTCATTATAGTCTCCGTTGCGCAATGAGTAGCTGTTGTTGAAATTACCATTTAGCGGTAGAGTATCCATGGCACTTGTATCCCTGGCATTGTTCAGTGAATGTCCTGAAATGGAAAAGGACAGTGCTGGTTATTGCCTGATGTGCTTTTTATCACTTAATTTTTTTTTTAAACAAAAGTCTTTTAATGTAGTTCAGGACAAAGTTGTACTTGGAAGTAAGACGTGAGAAAAGTTAGGTTATGGAACATTCCCAAATGTAAACAGTTGCACACCTTATAGGAAAGATGCATTGTAAAAATAGTAACATGTATTTCCTGTGGGGAATAGTGGCACTTAAGTTTCTTAATTTAGTGTCAATTCTGTGACTCTTCCACAAGGAACTGTTCACTCCATGCCCTTGCATATGTAATGCAAAGCAATTTATTTGGAAACATCTCTGTTTTGAAGTACACCACCATGATTTAGAAAAAGAAAATTAACAGAATTTGTCCTAAACAACACTAAATTAAAAAGGAATTAGATCACAGACATAACTAAAGGCAAATGTACAACATAAACCCACATAACTGGCAAGCAACTACTTTAACAACATTTCTAACAGTTTTTCCCTTTTTTTTTTTTTTTTTTTTTTTTTTTTGGAGATGAAGTAAAGAAAAGAATGAAAAAAAATGGATAAATACAAAGAATTTGATGTTAAACAAGGACAGCCATGTTTCACACTACAGGGACCAGGGCCCACAAGCACCATCCAACAACACGATAGACAGCAGGTGGAATGACTCACTTTGGACAACTCACATCATGTCTGTCTGCTCAGGCTATCTGGCCTAAGAGTAGCTGATATATAAAAGAAAGTAAAATGATTTATTGTAACATGATGAAGAATTACTGAGCTTCTCAGCAACTTAGTCAGAGCAAGGGTTCAGCAAATTAGATTACTAAGCAATAACAGCTTTTCTTTTCCCACTTAATGTAATTTTTTTGCACTAATATTCTGTCTGCCAACAACGGCCCCAGGCTTCCAAAGGTCAAAGTTTGCCTGCAGTCTGCATCAGTCACAGTGACAGCGCTGAATGAACCAGAATAGTTAATTAAGAGTTAGGCCCACAGTTACCATGGGCAAGGAAGTCAAATGCAGAAATGTTAGGAATTTCTGTAAGTATGGGTCACAGAAATTAAACCAAAGAATAAATATTAGTTGTGGAATGGGAAGAGGAAATCAGCCATGGCTGATATTTCATAGCTGCTAGAGGAATGACAGATTGGGTAAGTCTGCTGGAAACATGAAAAGAAGTTTAAGGGGAGAAAATGAAATCTTATGATGATTAAGGTCTTTATGCTTTCAGTTCTGGCTTTTTTTTTTTGGGGGGGGGGATGGGGGAGGGTGGTAACACAATAAAGAAAAGGTTTCCTATAGACACAAAGACATGTAAACTATGACAGCACAGTGCTTCCCAAGCAAAGGAAAAAAAAAACCGAAAAGTAACAAAAAAACCCAAACAAAACTTTGAAAGAACTTAAATAGTCTGAACCATGGAAAGTCAGATGGTTAGAGCATTCCTATGCACATAATCTACAGATATGTCTAGAAGTAAAGAAAGAATGGACTGAGTTTACTGAAATGAGACTGACCACTGTGAGGCTGCTGCATTATATGCAAGGCTTGGAGGAGCATAAGAAAAATGTTGTTTTGGAAAAGATCATACATTTTCCCCTTTTGTTTTTGTTTTTTATTTTTTTCATAATTAAAGCTGCAGCTTATCCTAGAAAATTCAGTCTTCTCTGGAAATATTGTTTTCAATTAAAAAGTAATTGCATTTTCTCAGGAAAAGATTTTTGTCTTCAACTTAAAAAAATAAGAGTAATAATTTCTAAATAATTCTGAGTAATTGGCAAATATTCTGTATTAGTGTTACTGTTAACTCCTCTCCATGTATACTGATTTAAATAGTGATGTGGGTTGTTTGAATGGTCTCTTTAAGCTTTGATTAAACAACTTTCTGGTTGTGCAATTTCATATATGTTGCAAGATTCTTCTTGCAACAGATTCAGCTGTGCAGAACATATGGCATTTATAAAAGTAGACAATACATGGACCACATGCTGGCATTCATTTCCCTCATGGAAGTGATTTAATTCTATAATTTTAATTCTCTTTTCTTCTGCTGAACAGATACCAAAATATATCTGATAATCCAAAATGAGTTTTCTATGATATACTGCAGAGTTAAGCACACTAGAATATATTCAAATTGGTTTGATGAGACAAATTTTGTTGCCCATGATCAGGTAATTAATTTGAAATCTTTCCATAGCCTGTAGCAAGATTACTGTGGGAATGTAAAAATATAAGGAAATTGTTCAGCATTTCTGCTTGACATTGCTTTGGTTTTAAACAGCAAATTATTTCAGCATTGCATAACTTCTGTTACCAATAAGGTTTGGTACAGATCTCATGTTGTTTCCCAAAAAGCAAGTACTTTTTGAATGGGGAAACATTTCATTTGCAAATCGTGAACCACTTGCCCGCTGAGTCTACTTAATGACCGCTAGTTATGTTTTAATTGTGCCCATTAAAAATCATGCTGAAAAAATTTACATTTGATAGGCAAAGTTAAGTTTTACTCCCATACTTGTCTCTCTGTAGGTTGCTAGAGGAAAGCATAAGGAAAGTAAGAAAACAAGAGAATGAAAATAGAAACTACAGTTCAGTTAAAAAAGAAATTTGAAATAAAAACTGGAAACAAGGTTTTATGAGCTCTTTATCAAGGATTTACTGTTCCAGTTATACTAAAGTGATCTTATGACTTGTCAAACAGTGACTGCTAGGTATTTACTGATGAATTGCACCACAATTAAAAAAAGCAACTAGCTAATGTTACAACAAAATGTTAGGTAAGTGATGACACCCCTTATTTCTACAGTACTAAACTCTTCTGTTACTCTCAAGATTTTCCTACAAGAAAATGATCTACCATAAAGCTGCACTATACTATAGTTTAGGTCTGTTTGATGCTGGATACAGTTTCTATGCTGGGGTATCCAAAGGTGTCAAGATGCCTTGTGCTGTTTTAGTACCTAATCTGTTCCATAAGCAGGTTTTTCTCAGCAAGCTTTAGAGTCAACCTTATATTGCATAGACATGATACCTCTAAGTGATATATATCTTGAAGATGGGCTCTCGGACCATGTGTTGTCAGTCCTGTAATAGTATATTAAGATTTATGCCACCTGTGTTAAAAACATGGATAATTATTGGTAAATACTGTTATGGCAAAGGCATTACTATAATATAGTGCAGTTTTACAAGCTGACATTGGCAATACTGTATTTCTCCAACTGACAGAAATTCAGAATGTACAGCTAGGGCATTGCAACTGGAGTTTCTATCTAGGGAAAAGAAGAGATTTGGAGCAAGCCAAGAAAAGCAGTTTTATTCAGGAAGTATAAGCACACCTGGTGAGTTAAACACAGGAGCTGAAGGGGCATTACATACAACTGTTTCAGCAAGCAATGTGTTATAGGGGTTGTTAGTGCCGTGTGGTCGAAGAAGAGGGTTTGTTAGTAGGTAATTGCCAGTCATTCCTAAAGTAAAAGAAACAGAAAAAAAAAATGTCAGTTCCTTAATTTTAGGCTGACAGTTTCAATAAACAATATTTTTTATTCATTATGAATCATGTAGGACTTGTCAAATGCAATTCAGCTGAAAATTTCTGAATGTATTTGAGCTATGTGTTTGAAATGGGAGTAGGAAAATACAGTTAGATTCCAGTAATTCACAGGTGCTGTTGAAATCCCCAAAGTAAACATCTGGTGAGAGTGACATTTACTAATGTATACAAAATCACTGTTACACAAGACTAGCAATTAAATGTGTAGAGAACAAGGTACTACATGAAACTATTATAACTTTAAAAATGATCATATAGAACACTTCTGTACAGAATTGAGAAAACTGACTTTCTCAAATTGAAACTTGTGACAGCATCAGAACTGTTATTCACTTAATTAAAAACACAAGGACAGTGGAAGGGAATTGCTGTTTTTCAAACAGACAGTGGATGACAAACTGCAAGAAGCATATCTTAGTATCTGCAAAAGTATGCATGCTGAGGGGAAAGCAAAATATTTGCTCTAAGAAATCAGAGAATTCACATTTTCTCCTGGAATATTCATGCTATAAATTTATCTGTCAGGTTTTTAAAAAGAACTTGAATGACAAATTTCCTTTCAACTATCAGTTTACAAACAATGTAAGATGACTCAAAGTACTACATGAACAGGTTTTTTTAAAACCCATTTTACATGTTAATGTAAGACCATCTAAACAACTAGAATAATTAGAAAAAAGCCAGCATATTTTGAGATGTTATTAAGTCAATTAATCTCTTCATTTCTAGCCACTAGAAGAAAAATGGTTTTAAATAATGAGCAACAACAACAAAAAAAACCCACACAGAAAATGCTGTGATTTAAAACTTACTTTAAACATTTAATTACAGTAAAATTCCACTTCCTTTTCTATTGCATTGCACAGCAGTATATCAGGATCAGTGTATTCCAGACCCAAGGACAACTGAAGAGCCAGCTTTTTATAGTATGGATATTTTTATTTGGCAAGGAAAAGATACTATATATTCCAAATATTAATGCTTTTGTTCTACCATTAATACTTGGTAACAGTAATGAGCAGAAAATTCTAAGATTCAGATAATTATTGCCTAATTATGCTAATCTTGTTTGAAAGGTTTTATCCTAGCTTTTTTCAGTTGTAATATACTTATTACAGGAAATACTAACTGAAACATATTTTGTTCAGTTTTGGGGTTTTTATTTGTGTACTGTGTTTAATCTTGGATAGAATTATTAGCTGTAATTTATAGTTAAGAGAATGGGTTTTTAAATACTTTTTTTTTCACCTTTAAAAAAATGATTTTTATTTTAAAGGAAAAATGACATTTGTGAGTAATTTCTAAACTATCCTTATACATATTTATCTCTGAGATAGTGACAATATTATAATTAAATAAGGACAATACCAATCTTTCTAATCAGAATGGCAGAATACCTGATGACTTGAGACAAGAGCTCCAAAGCATGGAGAAGCTGCCAAGACCTCTCTTCAACGCTGTATTAACTGAGGGTGCAGCAGAGTGAGAGCAAACCTCAGGAGTCCGCAACACTAAATTAGGGTGAATTCCTGGACTTTCATCTAAAGTGTCTTCACAGAATTACAGTAAGATACTGGAAGGGAATGTGCTTCTTGCAGGGGTATGAAAAATACACATTTTCTACTTAGGAGAAATAACTTGATTTTGCTAGAAGAACATAGAAGATTCAGATGGGGGAGCAGTGAGAGACACATGTTTTATCCACTTCCTATATGCCAAATAGCCAAAATAGAACCACGCTTTCTGAAATATTTACTTTTGAAAAATGTCACGCTTTTTACTTCCCAAATGAATGTGTGTTATATACATGTCCCTACTACCAAATCTTTAAAAAAAAACCAACCAAAAAACAAAACTGAGAAAAATTTGCTAGTTGTGGTTGATGAGGGTTTTACAGCAGCCCTGACTGACAGTGGTAGATTTTCTGTCTGACACTTTCTGAGTTGAGTAGGAACTGGTTACAATGGCTCAAGTCTAGGTGTTTTTCTCCTAGAGATGTGGGTGGAAGAACAGGCTTTGAACTTGCCTTGCAAAGAACAGTCTTCCCTCCACTGCTAGCTCAAACTGCCTTAGAAAAACACAGGGGGAAGGGGAAAGAGGAAGGGACATTCTGTCTCAGTTAATACCCTTGTCTTCTAACTGGACATGAGAATGAGGTTACAGATTTCAAAGTCTATTTGAGCTGAGAAATTTGGAGTTTTGGCTTCTCTGTGCCTGAAAATCTGGATACTGTCCCATGTGACAGATACGATGCTCTTTGAAACAGAAAAGGTATATGCTTTACAGACATCTTGTGCATAGAAATGAGATCAATTAGATTTCACTGGGAAAATTTCTGTGCCTAAAAATCATAGTAAAATATGCATTAAAATGTTACTGCACTCTTATTTCTGTTTCAGATTTAATCTATAAAGGTTAGGAAAGATTTAAAATTATGATTTTGCTTTTAAGTTAAATTATTGGTGAAACTTATTTAAACACATTTCCACAAATGGAGAAATTCAACTCCTATATCATGGGGCCAGTTAAGGGAACATGGTTTTAAAATATGCTGGTGGATGACTTTAAAACTCTGCTTTTAGAGAACATTTGTTCCAGATTATTATTTTTTTTTAAGCAATCTTTTCAATTCTTCTGTGTTAAACAATATAAAATCTGTATAAAATTTAAGGCTTCTAAAACTGAAATGTTCCCAGTGACTGACCTTGATTAAGTGTTGAAGTGCTGTTGATGTCACCTGAGATAAAAGACGATTCAGATTGTTTTCTCACAGTGTCGTTCCACATCCTCCTTATACGACTCTGTTACGTAGTGAGACAGAAAATAGCAAGTTATCAAGATTTTTTTCCAACTTATGTGCTGTTATGTAGAATATTTTTGTTTATTTTGGCCTAAAGTAAGCCATTCTTCTGGCACATAATTAAACTCCTTTTGTTATTAAAAATTTAATTCATTAAATTTCATTTAGATGAAACATGAAGGTATAAACATTCCTATAAACAAGCCCCTCATTGCAAGAAAAGTAAGGTGTTTGCACAAGACCAAAGTAAAAGGAAATGTTTAAAAAGATATCCATTCTACTATGCAGAAGTATGTATTCACCATCTAATTAATAATAATGAGAAGGCAATTAGTGCTTCTGATCAGAACACATCTCAGTTGGCTTTTTATAAATAAGGTTGATTAAAAGATGCTGTCAAAATCTTTGTTACCTGAGTGCCAGAGGAATAGCGAGCACTAGTTCTTGTTGTTGATGCCTTCACTGAACTGTGGGGGCTCTCAGTTGGAAGTCCCCCACAGCAGTAGGAATGTCGGAAACATTTGCCATATTCCTTACGTACCTACAAGGGGGAAAAAAATACTTAGCACAAAAAAAGCAGTGTTAAATTTCCACTGGCAAACATACATGAACCTTGCACTAAAATTACTCACACGCTTTTCAAGCAGCAGATAATTCTTTTCTGTTGAATTGCTGACCATTAGCAAATCAGGTCTTTTCCTCCACTTAGCAGCAACATTATCAGCTATGCAGGATTTCTGAGCAAATTATTTCCAAGGTATACACTCACTCCATATAGATGTGCCTGAATTACCATTACTGAGTTACAGGATTATTTTAATTGATCTTTATATTGCAGATTAATGTAGTTATATTTACCTGAATTGAATGCTGGTGGAAAATAGTCCTTTTTATATGAGCTTTTGGTGCAGAAACCACAGAAAGCCTATCTGCTCTCTCTAGCACAGTAGAAGGGCTGAGCACTGCTCAGTACTGCCTGCTCTGTTACCCCTTCCAGAAAAAGTGTGCAAAACCTACAATGACTATCAAGGCATTTTCACGTACAGTTATTTCTGTGTAATTCCAAGAGCTGCCAGCTCACACGGTCACACCTGCTTCAGGATTGTACAAAGCTCACAAGGTGCCACTGCCCCATCCTAGGCAGAGCACCAGGTCTGCTGGTGGATGCACTGTCAGTGTCCCAGAGTAATATTCTGAACTGTAAAGGCTGGGAAATCAAGCATCTTTCACATTTAGGACCAAAAACCTCGATCCTTATTATTGTCTTTGCTGAACCTAGAAATCTGAATACAGCTATGTATATGAGAATTTTGTTTGACAGAGCAACAAAACTAATTAATTACTTTTTGGCCTGCATTTATTCACCTTCTGTTTCCAGACACCTACTAAAAACTTTAGGTTTTTTAATTTATGTGTGTTAACATTTGTCATTAAAGTAATCAGGTTTAACTTCCAGAGCAGTTAATTTTCTCATATTTGGTGACTGTTACACTTGACTACTCTTTCCAGATAATAAGAGAACATAACACATCTTGGCAGCATGACAGCATCAGTGAAAGGACACAGTGGATAAAATTTGTGTAACAAGTGTAATTCTAAAGTGGTAAAGTATCTTCCACCAGATACTTGGGAATCTAAGTGTATCTAAGTGTAATGGCTTTGAACTGGAAGAGGACAGATTTAGGTTAGATGTTAGGAAGAAATTCTTCACTCTGAGGGTGGTGAGACACTGGAACAGGCTGCCCAGGGAAATTGTGGAAGCCCCATCTCTGGAAGTGTTCAAGGCCAGGTTGGATGGGGCTTTGAGCAGCCTCGTCTAGTGGGAGGTGTCCCTGCCCATGCAGGGGAGTTGGATCTAGATGACCTTTAAGGACTCTTCCAACCCAAACCATTCTGTGAACTTCTACATCAATGAATTTCTGGGTAAAGTGGGATTTCAGCTAATCTGGAAAGTCTGCTTGATCTATAGTATGGAAGGAAAGTTACATGCATGTATAAAGAGAAATGGGGAAAAGTGGAACAAGCTACTAGTGTGGATTTACAAATGCCATTTGCTGTTTCCAGTATTACAAAAATTTACTTATGGAATACCATAGTGTGATGTTTCTATAAACCACAAGGTTGAAGAAAAGTTCAATAGTGCCTTAACATCAGGCTAGCGACAAAACTTTATTTTTATAAAAGAATATGCTACATACTTTAAGTGAACCCCTATCTATATCAGCACAAAAGACACAAAAAAAACGAAAACAGAAATGTACAGACATAGCATTATAATGTTTAATTCTGTACTTTGAAAAACTTAAATCTATATATATGATCAATAGATGGTATAACACCTAAGAAAATATATTTCTGAACATTAATGGATATTAAATGCTCCAAACCACTACACAATAGAGACAACAACAATCAGAACTGTATTTCTACCCAAATACCACCCTCCAGGGCTGGTTTTGCTTAATGCCTGTATGGCAGTGAATGTACATTATATGTCAGTACTACACATTCCTCTGTCATTATTTCTAAATTATAGCTTGTTGGAAACTGATGGAAGCAACAGCACTATCATCTTGTCAGAACTGGAAACATAATAGTTTTCATTTTCACAATTCTATTTTTCTGTTCAATTTAGTGACCAACTAGTAATAACAGAATGAAAAAAAACTGTATTAGCTATGCAGACAAAGGGTAGGATAATATCCAGTCGAAGGAATCAGAACTTAAAATCTTAAATAGAAGCTTTAACATCCTTTCAGGTATAAATCTTATTGCTTTAGGTTATGCTTTTTCACGCTTTACTGGTATTTTAATATTGCTTTTTGCTGACTCCACTTAATATAAAAACAATGCACAGCTGTAAAAAGAAATAAAAAAGGAATCTGATTTTCAAGTCCAATAGAAGTGGTAGAAAGGGCAACATTAAATGAAACGCTAATCTAGAAATTATTTGTATTTTGAGAATGTTTGCATTTTTCCTCTCTCTTCTTAGGCTGAATCTCCTCTTTAAATGTGCTTTTGTTCTCTCAAAATGAGAAGAGTCCCATGTTCATCTGGATAAAATTCTTCCTGTCTACCAAATCTTTTTCTAAATTGTGTCTGAATGCCACAGTCTACACCAGATTTAGAGACACTGGTACTGTTGGAGCTGGTACAGCTGAGAACAACCAAGAACAAGTTATTTTTGTACTTACACAACAACACTTTATCCAATCATCAGTTAATTATGTCTCTGGTAAGCTAATAATTCCTAAGTCTCCAGCCTAAAACTGGTAAAAGTATTTACAATCTAAATATTGAAAAGTGGGTATTTCAAAATGTAGGATGTATTGAATTTTATGTTAGATTTTTTGGGTGGGATTTTTGTGATGTTTACCCTGCTTCTCAATTCATATTTATTTCCTTGGCCGTATCTTCTAGCACAGGCTATGAGCTTTGCTCTTTTGTCCTTCATTAAAGCACCTCTAAGGCATCCTTGGAAACAAATCTCTACCCTCAGTCAGAGTGGTACAGAGAAAGGAAGAAAAAGGGTGTAAGGAACCCAAAAAGAGTCCCACCCAGATAAGCCCCTCAATTCCTTCTCTCCTGTTTGCTCCTCTCTCCCCTGCAAGCCTTCGCTCTCCTCAGCAGATTCCTCTGCTCCCATTGGGCAAATGGGAGCAGAACTAATTTAGCACATCCCACTTATGAGGGAAGGCTCTTGCCAGAGAATTCCACTTTCTCCAGTTAAGACCATGAAGCTGTTGGAATTCTGGGGGAGGCAAACACTTGAAAAAAATAGTTATGCTGGCATCTTTCGTAAACCGTCCCCATTAGCAGCTGTCTAGCATTAATGAATTTTTTCTAAGGTGTGTTGAAGTTCATAATAAAATTAATTTTCAGATCTCAATTTTGTAATGAATGAGCACTCATAGTACAAGCCCTGCCTATCACCCATAGCTTTAACAGCTTTATGGGAGAGGTCTTCTGCCTTGAGAGAGTTTTCAGGCTGAGATGAGCTGATACTGTAAATGGTTTGTTGTTCGCAGTGCTGCAGTGGAGGCAGGATTTGTCTCAGGAGCACATAAAGGACTTTTGGCTCCAAATCCAGACTAACACATACCCCATTACCAATGTTAAACAGTACATTTTCTATGGTAATTTTCTTCCCAAAGCCTCAAAACTTTTCAAGCCCAGGCTGGAAACCCTGCATCCATTTTAAACCTGCCCAGGCCACAGAGCAGTTACATGACTCTGCCAAGCACACACAGGAAGAATTGCCTTCGAATATTAGTTCCCTCCTCAAACTACTTCATATTCCAGTTCTTGACATTACTACTTTTTTTCTCTTTAAGAAATATATGTGGTATTTTTAGGGAGTTAGGGAATAGACATCTGTGTTCTCAGTAACTTACTTTCTTTTGAAGGGCACAATGAAAGATGAAAATAAACATTCCTTGGAAAGCATTAAATACTGTGAAGAGATAGGTCATCACAACAGTCCCCTCGTTGATAAAGAGCAGGCCAAATGACCATGTTAGGCCAAGGAGACACAGGAGAGCAAATGCACCCAGGACCCAGGATCTGTAAAAGAAAATTCATTTTAGTAACATTACTTATGAGAAAGGATGTTGCCAAATCCAATATTAACATTTCAGTTCCTGCAGTTGACTTTTACTAGGTTCATATTCAAATGTAAAAATTCCTTGGGTTTAACCTTTTATCTATTAAAGAAAGAACAATTCCATTTAGAACTTTTAGTCTCCAGTGAAAACAGCAAGAGTAGATATGACCTTTTTCTTTCTCAAGAACTGCACAGGATATCAAAACTATTTTGAAATGCAGAAGTATAGTACAAGCCCCAGCTACTCCATTGCTTTAACTGCTTTTAGAAAAGAGATTGATAAATCTGGCTTAACCACTAATCACACCATAGATTTTAAACAGTGGTGCTGCCATATGACACCAAATAATGTAACACAAAGGCACAAAGGTTAAACAGCAGATTAAAAGCCTAGAGCCCAAATCTTTAATGCTCAGATAAACTCAACTAAACTGAAGCTAGATGATCTAAGTTCCACATGGAAAAACCCTGCTGAAATGTGACAAAAATATGGATATTGCTCTACAGAATACTCTTAAGAAAGATACCATCATGAATAGGTTAAGGAAAAGGAATTGTAGAGAACGGCACAGAATGAAAGGGAAAGGGAATTTAGTCAGTGAATTCCACATCTAACTAATGATCTTACTTGATAAATGGCTTATTATCTTCATAGCTAGAAAGCATTATAAGCAGAAAAGAGAAACAAAATTATTAGACAGAATTGAAACAGAAATTAATAAGAGCATATTTAAGTGTCTACAAAAATTAGTCAAAATCAGGAAATTCAAAATGCAGAGGCAAGCAATTTAAAATTATAAAGGCATTTAATAGTTAAAATTCATTAGCAAATCAGGTATCTCAAAACCAGTTAATTAAAATTAAGGGAAATCCACAATATTGACCGAGTTTGTAAAGTTAGAAATCATGCTAGAAATTTGTTAATGTACGGTTCTATCTTACCCAGGTAAGTCCGTATTATAGTAGCCATCACAAACACGGTAATTACTGGTGTGGATGAGAAGACAGAAAGAGGAAAAGGAAGAAAAGAGAGATGCTAACGATTAGCTCTCTCTCTCATCATGCAACATGCAATGAAGCTGATACTGACCTATCTAGAATATCTAGTTCACATTGTTAGCCTTACTGAAAATCTCCCTTCACCATTTTCAACATTCAAAGCAAATCTGTAAGACCCTTTCGTATCCAACCCTCAGTGTTAGAAAGTTGCACTATCCCTTCAGTGTTGATAACAAAACCTTCACTAAAATGTAAAGCTATACCGAGCACAGGGAAAGACTGTCTAAAGAAACAAGAGGTGCCAAGGTCTTGTTCATTTTATAACACTTGTATTACTCTGCAAAAGGGATACTGCAGTGCAGCACCATGACAAAATAACCATTGGTCAAATTAACATAAAAACAGCAGATAATCTTCACGCTAACAATAATAATAGAGTCAATTCTCTTGAGAGAACAGGATTACGAGTAGAAACTGCTCAGAATCCCTAAATCAAAAAGTCATTTAACAAAACAAACTTAATATAATCACATCAGCCATGCAAACAGGAACATCGTTTTTGAACTGCATTTTAAATGCAAATGAAATTACTACAGTGCTGTGGCATTTCCGTGAAATAGTTTCTTGGCACTAGTTCCACGCTGAAATTATCTAATTTTGACCGGCGTTTGTGACATTACAGCAACAATGTGACGAAAGCAGGATTGGATCTTTTTGCTTCTAATTGACATCTGCAGTTGCTGGGAGACAATGGCATGTGCTCCTAATGGAGAGTAGCTTTCAATCAGTTCAGCAATCAGAAAATAATCATAGTTCTCATACTTGAACACAAAGCACTTACTTAATGTTTTCCAACCTGCTAGAGTCTGGTTTCAAAGTATTTGAGTGCTTCACCATTTTGCACAATGTGATCACCAAGAAGATAAGATTCAGCTGTCAAAACAGATAAGAATGAAATTAAACTACTTCAGTAATAGGTTGAATAATGATGTTGTTACAGACTAAACAAAACCTCCATAGTTTATTTTCAAATATGTAGTGAAACTAGTAACTACATCAGACAGTCTTAAAAGGTGATTGCAAATACTGAGGGAGGAAAAAAATGTTAGAACTCCTTATTTCACTTAATTTTCCAAATTCACCACATAATCATGAACCACCATATTTAGCTCAACTCCAACACTTGTCAGTCAGTCTAGCTCTGCTTTCCAACATGCTGTGTTCAACTCTGCCTGTCACCTCTGGCCCTGTTCCCCATCTCACTGACCTCTGAGGACTATGGTTACCCCTTTACTGTACTATACTAGTTGTCTTTTTATGACCCCATCTTGCTTCTGGTATGTTTTTTGCCTTTAGTGGCTTCTCCCATTCTTTTTTTTAATTCCATTTCGTACTCATAAATCCCAATGGGGTCTTGAGAGCAGCCTAAATGTAACTGAGGAAAAAGAAGCAGAAAAAGAAATAAGAAACACAGAAGATGTAGCAAATGCATGAAACTTAACAGTGCCACAGGCATGTGCTGGTGGTGCACCCTCCTACTGCCCCGTTTCCCTTTGTAGTCTGGATTCTGTCACAATGAGACTGCATGCCACTTGAAGGAAAGGACTATCGAGTGTGTTATTCATATAGGTAACACCAGGGAAGATACTGGAGGTAATTTTTTTTTTATCATTTCCTATTGTGAAACAGAATCTCAGACATCGAAGATACCAAGTGCCTTTCCTCTATTGATTTCGAAGCAAGGGAAGATCACAGGTAAGTCACATGCAATGTTGCCTGCAGAATATGGGTTGAAAAGGTGATACACAGTTAATCTGAGTAATGAGGATGCGTTGTCCTATATCATGCAGACAATCAAAATCACATGATTGTGTACTTTCAGGGAGGAGACACACATCCTTATCTACTAGTACAATGATCCACAAAAAAATGGCTGAACTGATAGATCAGAGAAGATGGGAGAACATGCTTGGACATCATTAGAACACATATATTGGACAGATCATAACCCCATTCTTACAATATTCGTACCTATCTGCAACTGGTTACTGAGGGAATGATCAAGCCCCACCTCTCATTTTGGTGAGCCTTTGAAATAGCATCAAAATCCTCACAATTTTTCTAACATTGGGGATACCAGTTTGCACTAGATATGTTCCTACAGCTGTGCCACAATGGTCAGAAATGTCACTCAAATCCTAATAAAGAACAGGTCTTAACAACCTCAAAAAAATGTGTATTTAGACAGCTCTGACCAGAGTCTATTCATGGAGACACACACTATAGAAATAATTTCTACTGCTAAGGGCAATCAATTGCTGACTGCTGCTGTCTAAAAATCAGGATGGACCGTATGAACTATAAATGCAATTCTGAACACCAGAACAGTATTTGGCAGCTTCTGACTTCATCAGTCTGGATTCAAAGTAAAACATTTTTACAATTGCATCTTGAGATTAATAGAAAAAGTATATGTGATACAAATAACAAAAATAAGCTTTTATAATTTATTTCTGTCTGCATTTCAAGAACAGACAGAAAATAACTTGACCATTAAGTGGAGGTATGTACATAGTACAGGTTAAGCATGATTTCCATTGCTGCCAAATGTAAAAGAAGCTAATATGTCATGACCTTGCTGACTACCTTTTTTGATTCTTAAAGGTAATAACTAATCAGTTGAGAAACATTTCATTACATCATTGTGGTAATTTTGATCCTCTTATCCAGTTTTCCACTGTGTTGTGTAAGTTCCTTGGGTGAGAAAAGTTGCTTCTCTCCCTGGCCTTTGCACCAGACAGAGGATGGGGGCTCTGTGTGTGACCCTCAGTCCCATGCCTTTGCAGGCAGACTTTCTTCTCCTGTATTTGGAAAAGTTCCTTGTCTATTTTGGTAGCTGACATGACATAATAGGAACTTCTCCAGCCTGCTTTAAAAAAATGTAACTTCAATGTACTTTTTGTGAAAACAAACAGATTAAGAGCTAAGAGATATGCCCTGTGCTAATCCTAACATGTAAATCAACTTTGACTGCAACCTATGCAACTGGGAGTGCACAATCCAGTTCAGAACAGTATTTACAACACAGCTGGAAGCTAATCCTTGCCTAAGTAGTTACCCTGGAGTATCCTGTACTGTACTAGCAATATCATTCTTGGATCAAAAACTCATAGATAAGACTTAGCCCATAAGTGACTGCCTTATGAAACAAGAGGCTTTTATCCTCTATGTTTTTGTAACTGAAGTGCTAGTTTGACATATGAAAAACAAAAGCTTGTCTTTACATACTGAGGTTCCTTTGGTGACATGCAAGCAGACACAGTCCTACCCCAGAGCCTGAGCCAATCTCCAGCATATTAAGCAAGTTTTATGTAGATACTCAGCTCTGTGTATCTGTCCTTGCTGGACTAGGGAGTAACTGTACCTAGCAGTTTCTTAATAAACAGTTCAGTACTAATTCAGACTCCCAAAAGCAGCCCACAGAACTAATAATGCTATATCACAGCAGCTGAAAAAATCCAAGAAAAAAAAAATAAAAATATTGTACTTTCAAGACAAAGTAACTGTGACAACAGAGCATATGATACTTGTTTCTCCATCACTGAAATACTGCATAGTTCTTAGGTTCAGCCATCAAAAGACGGCCCTCTAGTCTAACCCCCATACAATAAGCAGTGACATCTCTCACTAGAACAGATTGCTCAGAGCCCCATGAAGCATGACCTTGAATGCCTTCAGGGATGGGGCCTCCACCATCTCTCTATGCAACCCGTTCCAGTGATCCACCACCCTCATAGTAAAGAACTTTTTCCTCCAGCCTAAATCTACCATTCTCTAGCTTCATACTATTACCACATGTCCTATTCTTGCATGCCCTAGTCCACTGATGCTGTCACTCCATTGTAGAAAGCCACTAGGTTGGTCAGGCAGGACACAAAGCCACATCTCAGAGAGCCATGAAATTATACCCTTGATAAAGTCAGTAAAATCACTTTCATTCTGCACTTTAAAAAATCAGACCAAACCTCCTTCACATGCTAAAAATAAGTATATAAAAATCTGACCAGGTTTGAAGATTCTGCTGTTATACCTAGAGTGACAAAACACACAGTTACAGTAGGTGGAGCTGTAATGTGAGATCTCTCAAAACCTCAGCTTATAAAAATATGCAAGAACTCGGATTGATACTATTTCATTATATTTATACTGGATTTTTGCTGTAATTTCTAAAATACATTATTCACTGTAAGAGGACAGTGGATTACCTAGATAACCAGCTTAATCTATACTCTGGTTTTAGAAATACACATAAAAGTGAAAAAAAGATGTATTAGACCATCTTTTAAAATACCAGTCCCCAATTATCTCTTAATATTACAACTATAACTGCACAGAACAGAGGAAAAGACAAAGACAATTTTATATATATAGATATATATATATAAAGTAACAACTTCATAACATTTGAAGAATGTTTATGGTAATACTAATCAAATGCAGCCTCCTGAAACATCTAACTTCTGTCACAGCCAACACACAGAAGGCCATTTCCAGTTTGGAAATCAGAAGGATCTGGACATGAAAAATTGCATGTGTAAGAAGGAATTTTGTCTTTCTGACTCCAGAAACCTATGTGATTTTGAGAGGAGTGTCTTCAAGGCAAATTTTTTTAAAAGTGGATGCAATAATCTGCATAGAAGACTAATGGACTGGAATCAGTTGCAGGTACAATGAATTAGTAGCCAAATAAAGCTGGATTTAGCAATAATTATGATAAATCTCCCCTGTGATACAGATAAATACTATTTACCAAGTGTTTACTATGGAAAAATATAACTATTATTCATATACTTAAAAATACAGTCCATTTTTATATGTGAAGCTAGATTGTGTGTGCATCTCTATGTATACTGACTTTGGTGAAGTGATGCCTCAACCCAAGTGAAAAAAAGAACCCATCTTTCCTATGTTCATGTAACAGGACAACCTAGGAATTCTTGCTTGAACAACCTTTGGTAGCCTACTACACTGGCTCCATCTGCAAGAAACAAACTCCAGTAGTTTTGGTGAAGTAAGTCAAACCAACATCACCCATTCCTTGGCTATGAATGAATATGGATCTACATAGAAGTCAAAATACTTGGGCTTTTCTGACCACAGATTACAGAAGTGCACTGTTTGTTTTATAGCCATGAACCTGCTCAATTGGATCACGTCCGCCTGCGCTTAACAGCTTAAAATTTATTCCACACAGCCTGCAGTGCTGACATGGATATGATAAGACAGAAGAACAGAAACACCACTCTGAAGTAACCTAGCTGAACTGCACATGTTCTGACCCTTTTTGAACTCCCCTGAGCTTTTGTTACCTGGCAAATGCAGCTCTAAAACTGCTCTTGTATCTCCAGATCTTTGCTCTTAGCCATGCAGATGCCTATTTCTCTCTGGGACTGGCAGCAAGAGAGGTGCCCTCTGTAGAAGGCTTCTAAATGAGTGTGCACACTGAACTCTTACTGAACTGAATTAATTATTGAAGATGAAGATGGAGCTGTCCAGATGATAAGAACAGCTCCTGATGTATCATGATCCAAGCTTTCATTAAACCATTTCAGGCATACTAATGGTTTCCCACTGCTCATTACTTACATGCTCTTTTCTCATAGATACAATAATCCTGCTGCCCAAAGGCACGAAAGGCTATGGAAATACTGAAGTTGAAAGTTCCTCAGAACACATACTGAGAAATTTCATACTTCCCATCCTCATTTTGTGCAAAACTGTGTACAGATACAAGTGCAAACACTATAAACTCAGAGAAAAAAAAATTTATATAAAAAGAATATAAAATTCTAGTAAGCAATATTGTCAAAAAAGTTTATGGGCATTGGCAATACTATGAAACTGAGAATCATAAAAGTGATTTGATTAATATGTCTAAAAGCTTACCAAGGTGAAATTCCCACATGCAGTTACTGACACTAAGTAAACTACAGTACAAATATGGCTCTTTGCTTACACAGCACATGACATTATTTTCAGCCATTACAGTTCTCACACTTCTTCCTCCAGTCTTTCTTGTCTTCTCAAGTTGGGACGATTAGAGGGCAAAGCAATTGCTAGAAAAGAATTACTCCCAGGAACTGTGCTGTGATTGCTACCTGCTGTTTCATATTTTTGAAGTTGGGAATACTGCTCCCAAAGGCCTTTTGCGTCTCAGCCTAAATGATTTGCTGAAGGATAATAATGTCATGGCCAGTAAATAATAGTGAGCTATGTCTGTACATGGTCAATATGATTAAATGTCCTTCACCTCTATTCTCACTGTGACCTGGTTATAAGGAAGTGAAAAAGCCGTCAGCAATGACCAAAGCTTCCCATGTGAAATGTTATTTTAAAGCAAGGGAGAGAAACAGAGGTGACTAAAATACTCCCAGTCACAATAAAATAAAAAGCTAGACACAAAAAGAAAAATTATCACCACACAGTCAGACTTGAGGTGACTGAACTATTATGGCACGAAACTTAGAACAATTTTCTAGTAATGATTACAACGGCAAGAAATAACTTTTGTTGAAAAATACTGTATATCATGTTGAAAATACAGTGTATCCAATTGTAATTGTAGGTTTAATTTAAAAAAAAGACTCCTTACTATCCTACGACTTGATTTAATTTAAATGTATTTAGAATAAACTGAACAATTACTGTGGTCTATACTTAAATCTGAGAAACACTATAATTTTTCTAATTCAACTCATACACACAAGTTTTGACATCCACAACTATTTCTTTGAAAATACGCCAATGAACTCAAACAACTTTTACAGTGCACAACTGTCTTTTCTTAAGTGACTGCTTAAGGATTGAAATAGATTTTAATATAAACAAAGAGTAAAACCAACCTAAATATACATAAGCTTATTTCAATATTGAAGATATCAGGAGGGAATATAGTACCTACAAAAGACTGACCAGGTCTATTTTTGATAGAAAGTTCCACAATCAAAGCTTCAGTATATTTTTACATGGACAAGTAATGTAAGCTATAAACAACATAAAGTGCTGATATAGTACATCTGGCATAGAGATCTATAAAAGTCAGAGATTTCAAAATTATGCCTGAGGCATGTGCTTCAGGCTGAAAATAACAAAAAATACAATTCCTGAATTCAGAAATTCAAGGGAACTGAACCTCTGTTACCATTTCAGAACTCTACTGCTGTATAAATGCAGGGGAATAGCTAACTATTTAGACCTTCAAAAGCACAAAAACAAATTCATTCATCCTTCCAAACTATCAGCACTCTGTGATTCTGTACGTACACAGGCTATGTCCCTAAGTGCCAGACTTTCAGACTATTTCCCAAGTACAGCCAGGCCTTAAAGATACTGAACTGGGGAGATACTCTGGGGAGACATCATAGCAGCCTTCCAGTACCTGAAGGGGGCCAACAGGAAAAGTGGGGAGGGATTTTTTAAAAGGGCTTGTAGTGAGAGGACAAGAGGTAATGCATCAAAATAGGAAGAGGGGCGATTTAGGTTAAACATTAGGAGGAAATTATTTAGTTTGAGGGTGGTGAGACACTGGCACAGGATGCCCAGGGAAACTGTGGAAGCCCCATCCCTGGAAGTGTTCAATGCCAGGTTGGATGGGGCTCTGAGCAACCTGATCTAGTGGAAGGTGTCCCTGCCCATGCAAGGGGGTTTGAACTAGATGATCTTTAAGGTCCCTTCCAACTCAAACCACTCTATAATTATGATTCTATGATGAACTAGCAAAGAAAACCAAGGTGAGCCAAAATGTACATCTTGCATTCACTTTCCTGCCAAATTCCTCTGTTGGTAGTAATTCAGTGTTGGTATTATAGTCTGAAATAGCAACGAGAAGTTTTTTCTGTGGGTTCACAGGTGACTATGAGATTTTTACCTGCAAGAACTCAGAGACTGGGTAATTGATGCACAAATGCTGCATTCAGTCTGAACCAGACACTGGGGCACACAGCTGTGTGTGCAGATGGATGTGCACACACACAATGACTTTACTCCAATGACTGCAGGAATGTGTTATTTCCTTTCTCCTGGTTACAGTACATTCTGTTATTTATACTAAAACAGAGGAACCTGTACATCTGACATATATGTAGCATAAATACACACAGTAGTAGTAATGGAAAAACATATATATGCAAATAAACATACGAATACTGTGTAAATTATTCCTTTAGGAATACAGGATTTATTTAATTATATGATGCCCTTTTGAGATAATTAAGTTGGATAACAAGCAGTTAAATTCTGAAACATGTACAATAGTGACTCAATTGAAAGCAATAGCAAAGGTTCCTTTAAAAAAAAACCCCGTGTTTAGTACGTAATTGATTTTTCATATGACTACACACGTCAATACGACCTTCAGAGTTCAAGCCATTACAAAAAAAATGGCTATGCTGAAGTGCCACCACAGCTTTGACAATTAATCATCTGGTCAGCACTCACTAAAGATTTCTACACGTTTATATAACCATTTGTCAAATTACAGATTGTTTAGAAGCATTTTCATTCTTCTGAATAAGGATGGTATTGACTGAGGTTATTCAATCTTTTTAACTTTGCTGTGGGTCAGCCAAAAAGGAAAGGAAAAGCAAAGTTCTTACCAGAATAATGAAGGTAACCGGTCCAATGAAACTCCAGATAAAATAGTTATCTACATGGAGCCAACAACTATAATGGAAAAAAGAGAATGAAAAGTGAACAAAGGCATCAGCATCTTGGTCGCATAAACAGAAAGTGCAAAAATACTCCTTGTGCTAACATTCTGTCAGCAAACAATGATAAATATTGCACAGTACCATTTAGTCCTAATCTGAAACTCTTCTGATGAGTCCTGTTCAATAACACTATTGAAATTGAAAATAAATCATCAGGAATAGCTAACATAAAAGAAACAAAACCAAAATGATATCTCTCTCAGCCAAACATTTGGTCACAGGTGCTATCATGGACTAATGAATCTAATATCAGTAAATATTTTTCACAGTTTTTTCATGTATTCTTCAGAATACGCTTTGAACTTTGTATCATTTGCAAAGGGCTTACTCCTGAGGAATACAAAATAGAAAGTGCTCAGATGCCATATTTTACTGAAAAACAGTATGATACCAATAAAATGCCCCAAGTGGAAGCTGAACAGTAGAGAAAGAATATAAATGCTACCAGATTATGTAACCTAAAAACCTATTAGGAACCAACTTCATTTAGCGATTTGTTCTTCATAGAGCCCAATTCCTTGCTGAATTTCTCTTATTTGTCTTTCATCAGTAGCAAAATCAAGCAGCTTTCTTGTAGTCAACACTATCTTCTATCTTCTATCTGTAGCTAATTTCATCAAAGGACAAAGTAAACACTATTGGAAGGCAAATTCATGACTCCAGGAACTCAAATCCTTAGAAATGTTTTCTGTCTACCTTGTGTCACTTCTTATATACATTGGTATTTTTGTAAATAAAAGATAGAGGCTAATTTTAATCCTGCTCTACTTGCCTGAGAAATCATTATCAAAGTGAAATGTAAGGGTTGGAATATTGTACTGTCATAATTCAGAACAAGAGTTAGCTAGAGGGGCAGCTGAACAAAGAGATCTAATAAAACATTAGCTTTAAATGGGGAGGTTAGGCCTGTCATATGCTTTAAGTTGAGAATTTTTGCTTAATATACATTTGAGGCCAAAAAGTTATTTACTTTTTCAATTTGTTTCAGGTCAATCTTTTGTGTTAAAAGAAAGACCATAATTTAGAATTGGTCTCTCTGGAGTAAAAATTCTTTGAACCTAGAGAATTACAAAAGACTTGATTGCAATTTGCGCACAGCATTGCCATTCTCTTACCAATAAAGCTTTCAGATGGTATTTTAGTCTGTCAGGGACTCTCTGACAGCTAATAGGCTTTAAAAAATTATTCACTTGAAAAACACTCAGGTCACTTGCAATTACTTACGCTTTTTCTGTTCCGTAGCTCTTGTAGTCAATAGCTGCTGAGACACCAACTACTGTAGCAGGGAAGAGGTAGCCAGCAACATAATAGTACTTCTTCCTAGAATATTCACTTTCAAATACTTCTACTAACATGAGATAAAGCTGCACTCCTTCTAGACACATCCAGGCAAAGGCTGCCAGGAAGAAAAAGTGTAAGAGACCTGCGAATATTGGACATGCGATCTGCAAAGAAAAAGAAAGATGGAAATATAAACCACAAAATTTGTACATCATTACATCTCCAATTAAATGGTGACTAATAGAACAGGATACACTTCTGTCAGAGATCTTTCACAAATTCAGGAGTGTTTTCCCTACCTAAAAACATACAGTGAACATTGGAAAATACTAATGTGTGCTCAGTAGCTACAGAAAGGAAAATTAGCTAAACAGTGTGAATGAAGATAAGGAAATCACACACTCACCCTCCAGTCTTCAAGTATAGAGTGGAGTTTTCAGTTTTAAAAGCAACTCTCTAATTTTGAAATTGGTATGGTTTCAGAACTTACAGTCTGGATAACCTGAGATATGAACAGTTGGTTCTAGATGCATAATGTAATAGTGCTTATTAAAAACAATGAAGTAGCCGCCAAGCCATTTTTATCTGATGTAATTTGGAAGTGTCTACTGTTGTAACAGAAATCAGTCTGAATTCTCTCCCCTTTGGTTGAGTTCTGCATGAAACCATACTGAATTGTTAGATTTCAACTCAATGAGTAGCTTCAGAATTAATTTCACCAATACTGCCAAAAAACCTGCATGAATGTGCAATGTAAAAAAGTGCAAAAATATAGATAAGGCTCTGTACTAATATACAGATACAAAAAAGTAGTCAATAGCTGTTAATATGAATACACAGAAAAAACGTTTTAATTTCATCCCTGCTTTGAAAAGTAAGCACCTGATTAATTAATAGCCAGTGTTTCTTAACTGAAAATAAAATATTGCATGTGGGAAATTAAGGCCGCGGTGATATTTTTGATGAATGTAAATACTATTTGTGAACATGTCTATCTTATTTTCACACTGAGCTTTTATTTCAGCCTTGCTATGTCAAAATGCTGAAAGCTTGGCAGTGTTGTCATTTTTTAATTCAAATCCATTTCAAACAGTTGTTTCAGACAACCAGATCAGTACACACAGAGAAACTTACCTTGTACTCTGTCTTATCGATGCCTATTAGGAAAATGAACTCAGCAATGAATAGGTTGATACAAAGGTTCTTGTGAATAGTGTTACGATCACTTTGCAGGCCACGGAAAAAACAGAATGTGAAGATGCAGATGGCCAGGCAAACAAGAGAGATGACAATTCCCACCCAGGTGATGACAGTGAGGAGCAATTCGTGCACTCCATCTTTGTACTAGAAATAACCAAGAATGGAGAAAATTAATATGACTCTTCATGAGCATAAACAAAAACCTATTTTCATACGTAGCATCCAGAAAAGTTACTTGTTCATTACATGAGATGGACAAAATGTACTCAGTAATTTCTCAGTTTCAGGTCAGCTTCCCAGAAGAGTAAGATCAGGGTAAGTAGAAGAGAAACAAGACAGAGAAAAATGTGACTATTTTAGCCAGATCATATAGCATCCTTCTTATGACTTGCTGTAAACCTGTCAGACAAGAACAAGTAGAGAAATGTAGCATTTGGAAAGTGCCACTAGGATGTAATGTACACAAAGAGGAGAGCCTGGGACCTCCTATAAGAGTACATATTACTTCCTACAGACCTGCAACTCTGAAGAGAAGAAAGCAATTAGAAACTATGTGTGTAATTCCAGGTCTACTCTCACATTTAAGTAAAGAAGGTTGCTGACTTCAGTTGTGACAGAATCACTTTTGTCATCTTGGTTATCTTTTCAGTAACCTTCCAAATACGATGGCTTTACCAGATTCTCATATCCTTGCAAATATTGCATGCTCTAGGCCCCCTGACATCCAGTGACTGCTTTAACTAGACAACAACATTTCAAAGAATGAAGAGGCATTTAAACAGCCAGTATGGCAGCTCCTTGACCTTCCTGCTCTAAGAGCTGGCACTTGTGCTTCCAGGGAACAGCCTATACAGCTGTCCCTACAGATACTCTCCAGCTGTACTGAGGGGAAGTCTGTAAAATGGTTGAAAAGTTGGTCAGTAACTTCAAAATGTGACTTGAAGAAAACTCTTGTCCTTCCTTGATGGCTTTTTTTCCTGTTATTTTGCTTGTAACTTTATGGGTGAGGAAGAAGAGTGCTACAGAAATTAAAACTGCTTTGGAAATAATGGGTAGAAGCTATTAAAACTTAAGAAACTTCAACCATTTTGGAACTTCCTAAAAAATTAAAGCTAAATCTTTAAAATTTGTTCCCTGCTGATGGTTAAGAACATCATTACTTACCACAATTTCTCGATGAGCCATAAGGATTGCAAAGTTGGTTAGGTGACTGCAAGCACACGTTGTATGAGTTTTATTTGTGTCAACCAGTTTGCAGCCTTGAGTTGACCAGTATCCCATCATAGTCCTCTCAGAGTAGTTCCAGAAGGAACAATTTGCATTGAAATAATTGTCAGGCTGGGAGATAAAAGGATAACATAAAATGAGGATTTTGCACACTAAGATGGCATTAACAATGGTTTAATATGTGTAAAGGGTAATTTAGATTAAACTTTGCATGTTTCGGACAATAAAGTTTTTCATCAGCAAAATTGTGGACTATGTTATACAACGAAGACATCTAGTTTAAAAGGGACTTTATAGTCTGAAACACTCTGAAGTGTAGTCTCAATTACTGCAGACCCAATTTTAAACAATTACAATTTCCATCTTACGATTTTATGCACTGGTACATTATAGCCATTTTTTCTTTCTGCAAAATTAGGACTGTGAATTTATTCTGAACATACCTTTCCTGTGATTGAGAATTGGAAAATATGATCTGTTTTCTTTGATCAGGCCAAATTCATGTGAACAGACACCAAGAAAAAGTTCAATCCTCAGTGCCTGTGTGCCTGTCTATTTTGATGAAAACCAGTCAAAACAGATTTATAAAAAAGACACAAAATGAAAGTAAAATCCAACCATATTTTCTCTGTTATGGTAGTGGTTATTTGCTTTCCCCATGTAAAACATGAAAAAAGGACCAAACTAATGAACAAAGCAGCACATCAGATAAACTACCATCAAGAAAATATACACAAATAGAAAGTAAAACAAACCAAGATATAATAATTCTTTACTGCATGTAAGCAATTTATGTAGGCTTCCAGAACTTGGTCCAAAATTCATGTAAGAAGTGTCATTAAAACTGCCTATATTGGACCGTCAAGAATCTGAAGTTATTTTCTGCCCTGCTACTAAGGTAAGAGTTAATTTTCAGTTAGAAACAAATTAGTAATTTACATTTTCATGTTGATTACTGAATTAGCTTTCATTAAGAATACACTTAAGTTCTAATAATCACTGAACCAGGCTCATTTAATTTTATGTTCATAGGCTTAACTAAGCTTGTGTCTCTGACCTAGTCTGACATTTAAAATTCAAATGGGAAAAAAGGTTCTTTTTCTGCACTGCATTTCTCTCTTGCTGATTTTATGACCTTCCTATTAATTCATTAGCATAACTCACATCAATGTGTTCCAGTGTAAAATGCACAGGATCAGTTAGGTACACCCTGCTGGACTCCTTGTTGATAGAGGCTGCAATGACGTGGGAGTTGACGGCGATGGTGCTGTTCCGCCCAGCGAAGTCGCTGCCCAGCTTTATGGTTGCATTTTCAGTACTGAGAAAACGCCCCAAACTTTTGTAAATTATGAAAACCAGTTTTGCTAATCCTACAAAAGAAAAAAATCCCATCATCATGCCACAGACGTCTACAGAAAGACAGCAACCTGTACTCTTAAGGAACTGATAACAAAGCATCAGTAAACAGAGAGGCATTTTCAGGCTATGATTTTGAAGAAAAATGCCCAAGTACTCGCAATCTTTGAGAAAAAGTCACAGAGCAGTTTTGCTGGGTTTTGTTTTGATATTTTAACTGGGGGAGGTAATGCAGGTTTTATAAAAGTAAATGGAGTTTCAGTGCTCCGTGCCCAAGACTCACCATTTCCTGCTGTTCTGTTTCACGGTGCTTGCAGAGAGCTGAATCGAGTTGCCTCCTTTACTGCCCTGAGGAAATTTCAAGTCCTGCACCTGGCCCTCAGTAATGAGCACTGCAACATCCAAAACTGAGCAGACCAGAGAGGGGGGGGCGGGGAAGAAAAAAAAAAAAAGTGATTAAAAAGAGAATGCAGAGAAAGTCTCTTTGCCAGATTGCAATATGCCAGATGACATTATTCATTATTTCCCCCCACTCATTATTTAGTTTTTTTCACATTGCTGTCCTCATTTGCCACCGTAAGACAGATCTGTACTGTATTTTTTCAAGCACGCAGTGTCAGTGTCTTTAATTGAACCTAGTGCACATTACTAAAATGACAGCACTTTAATAGTGATAACATGACATCAAACCTTGTTTTAATTTGTGTCCCCAAAACATCCACTTAAAAATACCACATACACACATTGCAGAGAAATGTTTATTTTTACGCTCTTAACATCTACGCAGTATCCTCTGCCTAAAATTATCAGAACTTTAAGTATTACTTTAGATAAGAAAATTTTAAAACAGTTAGCAAATGAACTTATATGCTTTGTATTTAGCTAAATTAGTATTCATAGCTAAAAAAAAGGTGTATTTTTTTCCTAAATCTAATTCTATATAAAGGTTTATAGGAAACCATTTTATTGGTTCTGATAAAAAATATTTAAATTGAAAACTTAGATGCCACTTAGCTTTACATAAGTTTTAATTTTATAATATATTGTGTATTGGGAAATTTTCATAGGATACCATTGAAGACTGGATTCCCTTGGATGTATACAATCACGTAAGTCAGAGTGGTGAATTTGTTGACAGATATCTGCACTATATTAAACTGGTCTAAAGCCCAAACTGACAAAAGGTATGAAATTAGGGAATGGTTTCTCTTTCTCTGAGCCACACTTATGTATGTGCTCTGGGAATTCAGTCTTCCATGGCATCACTGTTTTACTGCCTATGACTTGAAGACAGTTTATAGCAAGAAGTGGTGTTCAGAGAGTCTTCTGAGCTCCATGTAACTGCTGAGAGGGATTTTCTATGATTCTACCCACATTCCTTCAGAAGCAACTGCTGCAGTTACTTTGATGAGGGGCTGTAACACCTTTCCCCAGCCTTCCCCAGTTTCTTCCTACTAAAATTAAAAACCAGGTAGAATCACCTTCTATAGTTACAAATATGTGGAGATTAAAATGTGAAAAGTACTGTTTTTTTCAGTCTGTTCCAAGTCTCCATCTTGGTACCCCTGAAATTAGCAGACTTACAGCTTCCTTGTACCTCACTGGGACTAGAGTAATCTCTGTAATAAGATGAAGTAATTTTAATTTTATGCATAGCAATTATTTTTGCCTTAACATATTCCGTGTACCAATATTTGCACATCTCTAATACCAAACCCCTTCATTTCTCTGTCACCACTTAAATTCCAAGTCATACTCCAACTATCTTCAGCTGTTCTGCAGTCTGTGGAGCACAGCTATTCTGCATTATGGGAGATGTAGTTCACTGAACACATTTTTACCTGAAGGCAGTCACGTTTAATACAAATATGTGGCCTATGTTCTGGTGCCTAAAATATTTAATTGACAGAGTATGTTACAAAAAGGTAATATAAGTTCATTAGGAACAGTATATATATGTAACAGGAAAGCATTTCTTCAGCTCTACAGAAAGCAGTTACTTCCAAAAATATACTCTGTCATTTAAGCACTCTTCATATGTTCTGCTAATGATTTTTCGGTGGTGAATCAACTTTGCAACATCAACTACTTTCCATTTCACACCGTATTAATGACACTAAAGAATAACGTTAATTTTTCAGAACTAAACAAGTTCCTCACTTAGGAGCACTTACCTTTCCACCAAATGTTGCACAGCTCAGCTTTCAAAGAGTATGTGGCTACTTGGAATATTTTTCCTGCTTTTGTGTAAAGCAATGCACAGCACTTTAAATTATGCTTGTGAAGAAATTCACTTACCAATATTTTCTGTGGGCATTGAGACTCTAGTTGGTTCTAAGAGATTGTCAGCCAAGACAAAAGCCCCTTCTTCTAAAGTATCAAGTAACATTGTGGCTGCATGGGCTTGTTCTGAAGAATTCATGTCCTTCCAGGACTCCAGAGCTTCAGGCCTGAGCAGGTTGTCCACTGTATCCACAATTGCCTGCATTCATTAGAAAACTATCATTAGGTCCAATTGCCCTGGGTGGCTGGGGAAAATTTTCAACGTAATCTGGTGACAATTATAATACTTAACTGTCAGAATGATTTACTGTGATTTAATGGCTCTAAAAAACTATTTTCAGTGTAAAAATATTTTCCATCCTCTTGCTGGATTAGCATTAATAGAAGTGCAGTTAGCCACTAGCACTGTGTGGTCTCTGAGTGGTAAACATGCAGATTTTACTTGACTCCTGTCAGATATAAAGATCGTCTTACTAATGTGCTGAAAAATGTAAAACTAAATGCCAGAAGTTATGCCTGAAGCTTTCATTTTAGAGTTAATGTCAAAAGGTATAGCTTTTATTTAAAAATCCTAATGCCAAAATTGGCATTCTGCAGTTTAGGCTAAAGTGACAATAATACTCTTCTGGAAACTTAGCCCAACTCATGCAGCCATAGCATATAAACTACTTGTCTATGACAAACTGTCTTCTTTATTAGGCATGAAATGAAGCTGACTCAGTGGATTTAAATTAGCCCAGGCCACTCTCACTCCCCCTCCTGTGCCTGTACCTGTTCATAGATTCTTAAAAAGATTACGAACTGCCATTCCTGCACAAAGGTCAGTTAAAAAAGGAAATCAATAGAGCAAACAAGATGTCCACTGACTGTCCCTGTTATCAGTGAAGGCAAAACTGTAAAACTGAATAAGCTGCCATTTAAAGAAGTCTTTCTTGTAACAACTCTATCATCATGTTTTAAGGTTCATTAAGCTGCATATAAAGTAACAGTAAATAAGGAAGAAGAAGAACTCAGCAACATGATTACATTATTTTTACAAAATAATCCAATCAATCACAGTAATCAGTTAATCAATTGAAGGCAGGCTTTTACATTAATGCATAATGCAGCTGTGCATTGAGTACACCATGCATTGCTGAAACACCCTGTTTACCCTGTCCCATTTACCTAGTCATAATGTGTCATTAGGCATCTATATAATTACTTTGATCAATTTAAAAGCATTGGGAGTGGAAACAGAACACACTGTACAAACAGAAAGATGCTGGTCTGGAATACTATACTGTGCAAATAAATAAATAGGAAAAAGTTGGTCAAGGCTCTTGTCAGAGCAAGATTAATTATCCTAATCCTTTTTAATATCCTCTTTCTGTGTCCACTGTCCTTCCTGGCAGGTGGAAGCTATTTCGAAGTGGCATTAAGGCCTTTTTTCTTTCTCTAATGGGAGACAGAATAGTCAAAATGCTCACACTGATACTGCTGCAGCCATTAACTAGAGTGGAACAGAAATTGGTCTGCAGAGGCCAGATTCATTAGTCACCAAGAAATACAGATTGGAACCTCTAATCTGAGGTACAAATGAATCCTCTGTCACAAGTGGGAACTTGCTTCATTTGCATAGTGTAAGTCAGCTTTTGATTTGTAATTTCGAGAGCTTTATTAGTCTTATCTAAGCAGCAAAGCCCATTTGAGATGTACAGAAAATAACACTGGTCAGAAATTGAGTCGTGCTACAGTTTCTTGTCTATCTCATATAGCACTGATGGTATGCATACATTAACATGAAATGGGGTTTATTTGTTATGGGATAATCTAACTGCATTTTTCCTCTGGAAAACGATCACCTGCCCAGTAATACATCTGAGACACTCGGGTGGTAGGAAGACCACGTGGCCCCTGTGATGCAGCTGTCAGAGCAAGTCCATTACTGCTTTTCTCATGTTCATGTTTATTATTGAAAAGGAAGCATGAAAGCTCAGTCTACCCAAACCATTTCTGCTGGATTTCCCTTTACTATTAGAAATATTGTCTAATAAAAAACCTATCACAAATACTATTTGAGAAGTTAATTTCTCTCCACATCTTTGTCTCTTTTTTGTCAATTTTTTTGTCTAAGTGGACATCATCTCATCTCCTTCCTGGGCTGCAGGATAGAAGACAGAAGTGCCTTTGTATAGAGAAATGTCTCTTCAGCAGGAGTCTGAAATATTTTATCATGCTGCAAAATATTTCAAAGTTCTTTTCAAAAATCATTCTTACATTTTATCTCAAGAGAATACAAGTAAAAAATAGTATTTTAAAAGAAACTTTGAAAAAATGTGCAACGAAATTTTTCAGAGCCAGACACTATCTGTTCAAGGATAGTTCACAGGCGTGAGGTGGCATTAATGGCATTGTGTTACAAAGCAGGAGCTGGCCACTAAGGACAACCATTCCACTGCAGATAAAAGGAAATCAAAATCAGGTAGCAATGTGTTCTGTGCCTTCATATAGCCTGGTAATGGGACACGTGGCACACATTTTACTAGTGAGGTTAGAGAAATGTCTGTCTTTACATTTTATCCCTGAAAACACTGAATCTGGCCTTTGTAAGAACTCTTAAAACTAAGAGTGATTTCACTAGGTATAAGAATACACAAAGAACAAAGCAGGCTATATAATGCACATTTTTCATGCAAGCGAATTGACTCTAAACAGTCTTTGATACTACCAGGCTGAAGTAATTGCCAGCTTTTTTCCTCTGCCTAAAGTTGTATTATAAGAGAGAAGTTATTCCAATTCAGACAATAACCATTACTATTCTTTTAGTTTTGAACAAGTTTAGGTAAAAGAAGTAATAAACTTTGATCTTTATATAAATATTTTGTTTTATGAGTGTTATACCTGTGCAAGGCCAACATTTGTACAGTCGACATGGGGCACATTACACATTTATCAAAGACTGAAATACATAGGATCATGCAGCAAGATGATAAAGCGTGGCAGGTTGATGAAGCAGGGAGAAAGCAGGGTGACAGCACGGGAGATATACCTTAAGGTAAGCCCTACATGTCTTCTCTCGTTTTTGGAGCTTTTGTGTAAGAAAAAGGAAAATCAGAAGTTAGACACATTCTGGAAAGTTTCAGAAATAGAAAAGTAATAGTCTGGTATCACAGAATCATGAACTGTCGGAGTTGGAAGGGACCTCTAGAGATCATCTAGTCCAACTCCCCTGCTAAAGCAGAATTGCTCATAACACATTACTCAGGGCTGCATCCAGGCAGGTCTTGAATATCTCTGGAGAAGGAGACTCTACAACCTCCCTGGGCAGCCTGTTCCAGTGCTCTGTCACCCTCACTATAAAAAAGTTTTTACTCATATTTAAATGGAACTTCCTCTATTGCAGCTTGTGCCCATTTCCCCTTGTGCTGTCACTGGGAACTACTGAAAAGAGTCTGGCTCCATCCTCCTTGGACCCATCCTTTAGATACTTATAGGCATTAATAAGGTCTCCCCTCAGCCTTCTCCAGGCTAAAGAGTTCCAGCTCTCTCAGCCTTTCCTCATAAGGGAGAAGCTCCAATTCCCCAAACACCTATGTTGCCCTCCACTGGGCTGCCTCTAGTAGTTCCCTGTCTCTCTTGTACTGGGGACTCCAGAACTGTAGGCAGTATTCCAGATGTGGCCTCACCCAGGCAGAATAGAGGGAAGAATTATCTCTCTTGACCTACTGGCCAAACACTTCTTGTGCAACTAAGGATTCCATTGGCGTTCTTGGCAGCAAGGGCACATTGCTGGCTCATGGATAATTTACTGTCTACCAGGATTCCTAGATCCTTCTCCTCAGAGCTGCTTTCCAGCAGATCCACCTCTAACCTATATTGGTGCATATGGTTCTTCCTCCCCAGGTGCAGAACCCTACACTTGTTGAGCCTCATTAGATTCCTCTTTGCCCAGCTCTCCAGCCTGTCCAGGTCATGCTGGATGGCAGCACAGCCCTCTAGCATTTCAAATCCCAAATTCAAACTATACTCTGGACATTAATCTAGCTTCTGTCCAGTGATTAATATAAAAAACCATCACACAGGAAATGCTTTTCCACAACCTTTATACAGGTGCCCAGCTATCTTTCCCCAAATGGTGGGTTTTCAACTAAAAGGTCAAAGGAGAAAATCCCTGTGTTGGCACTTGATCTGTCTCTGGGTAAACTTTCAAGGGCAGCTAGGGACTGTAAATAAAACTATTGCCAAAATAACAGAGGAGACCATGGAGCTCTCTTTCAAAAGGAGGCTGAAAAAATGTTTCATATGTAGCTTGTTGACTAGGCTGACTCAAGGAAGAGGCCAAGATATACACCATTTCCTCTGAGAAATTGAGGAATGTTAATAACACTTGTGATTCATATTTAAACCACAAAAATACACGTTTTCTCTGAAATGTTTCTCTGAACATCATTCCAGAGAAAACACTTTTTCATGTTTTAGATATGTGTATTAAGGCATTTTTATACAGATCAATTATAGGTGATGTTGGTGTCTAGAGAAGGCTAAGAAAGTGCTATTATTCTGCAGGAAGTCAGATTAAAATAAAAACCTGCACCTATGCAGAATCCCACTGATTTTATTACATGTTCAGGGTTAAAAGGATCACTGGATAAACATGCTGATTTGTTACAACATTTCTGAGAGCTAATGCCCATTTCCCTCATACTAGTTATAATGCATTCCAGATTTTAATAAGGGACACAGCTACGTATTTTAGGACCAGTCACCTATGGTGAATTGTATCTTATTCCCTAAAGAAGGTAATTGCAACTTTCCCCTGTGTATTTACTGCTGTTTTCTCTTGCATGTTTATTCCAGAACTATAAGCACGCAGGAACAAAGTATAGATTAATGTTTCTGAAAGGAAACAAAAAAAAACACAAAAAAACAAAGGCAATGGTTATCACAGCAGGAGGAGGTGACACGAGGTGTGTACCTTGTTATAACTCCTTCCAGCAGAGTCTTTTTCACTGGGCCGCAGTTCCTGCAGCTGAGCATCCAAAATGTCCACAAGCTGCTCCATCAGTCTCACTGATGAACTAACATCGCCAGCAAAGACTGGTCCTTTGGTGTGTTTAGCCAGTTCATTGGCCAGGCTTGCAGCATTTTCTCCACTTCTGATCTGAAATGACAATTTATATTATCTCAGCAGGGTCCCTTGTTCTGGTTGCGGCTCCTAATTCCAGTTCCCTGTGTACCTTTGTTGTGGTGAAATAACCATTTGCACATACATTGAAATCTGCAACTAATTGAGACCAATAACGTTCTCTTTATCTCAAAAGATTAAAGGTTCTTAGATCCATGACACACAAAAGCAGTTCTTAACAGCCATTGAAACCAGAAATCAGACTGGGACTTTTAGGCTAGTTCTTCTCTTCGGCCTCACTTTTATTTTATCATCAGGCAGTAAGAAATCTATTTGTTCATACTAGTGCTTGAGGCATTTGAAAGTCAAGTGGCCTGTACTGACAACAATTTATCCTGTTTTCATAAACTTGGTAAATCTCAGTATGGAGGCAAAACATGGAAAGTGGCTCTGCAGTCTAATCATGCAGTTATTAATGCACGTAGACAAAAATCTATTTACTAAAGTATATTTTTTTCTGAACCAAAATACCTTGCTGCATACCACAGTTTTTCCTATAATTGAATTATTAATAAAATCTAGGTTTCGGTTTTGTTGCTTTTTTTAACTTCTTTGCTTTAAGTAGCACTGAAAACTTGTAATTACAGATTCAGTAAAAGAACTTAGAGGGAAGGCACACCAAATACACACTTGAACCTAAATGGTGGCCAATACTTTGCACACAAAGTACACGTAACTCCTACTTTAAATGAATACAGAATAATAGAGATAGATTCAATAAACTGAATTATTAATGCTCAGAGTTAAAATCCTTAATCATCAGTGTACACCAGATTAAAAGGTTTCAACCAACCTTCTGAGCCAGCTGATTTACCCAGTGTGAGGTGCAGTTGCTAAGATCAGGCCCTTTAGGATTCCATGTTCCTGTAGAGACCACGCAGAGATACGAAGCAGTTCCTACAACAGATGCAGAAAACTACAGTGAAATGGAAACCATTTTCCCCCATGCAGTCAGGAAATGGGCTACACTGTACACCTAAGCAATGGTAATTCTGAATGCTGCTAATGGCAAGAGTTGACAATAACTGACAAAAAAGTAAAGAAATAATGTTAATTACAAACAGCAAGAAAAAAAATCAGTAGAAAGTACCAGACGTTTTCTGCATCAAACAAAAAGCCCTTGATTTTTCCTGGAGCTCATCCAGGGGGGAGCTCATAATGAGAAAGGCAGCTGTAAGCATATTTCACAACAGTCCTCAAGCAAAGTCCTAAAATTTATCCTGGATTCTCAGAAGTGCACACGCAAGGTAATTCTGTGCCTACACTCAAATGCCAGTTGCAGATTAAAACCTGACCATCGACTGTAGATGCTGCATCCTCCAAGCAAAAACTGCGACAGACAGCTTGAGATTTTTTTAAAATTCACCATAATAGACCAGCACATTCCTTATGAGATGTCTGCTAGAAAGAAAGATAGATTTTTAAAGGCAATACCTCGTGTTCCTTTGGGGCAAGGGCGTTCAACCATCATTCCTCTCTGTGTCTGAGGCCAGCTGATCCCCCTGGCCTCAGTGGGTTCACAGAATCTCTCCGGCAGAGGGAAAAAACTTGTCACAGGAGGAATTTTGGTTGTGGAAATGGGTGGCGGTGGCTTGGGTCCTCTGCTGCCTTCCTTTGTTCCTCCAGCTAACGTTGTGCTTATGGGTCCTTTCTGTGATGTAGTGCTAGTGGTTGACGCTGTGGTTTTGTATAGTTCTGCTGAAGAAGTTACTGTCACTGCTGTGGTATCCACTGCACATAGATTAGAATAATAATAAAGTAAATTACTTCAGAATTATAAAAAACAAGCTTATTTGAATGTTATATAGGTAATTTTAAAGGATTATCTGATATCTCCTTTATTTTATCTTCATATTACTGGTTTGGGTGCTTAAGATGTAATTTCGATATTTATTTTTTTTTACTCCCAACTCCTATCAGTATGATGTTTCAGCACATTCTCCAAATAACCTCTTCCATAATAAAAATTGGTAAGTTACATTTCTACAGGTTGGAAGGCAGTACTAGTGAGTTATCAGTACGTAACACACTGAAAGCAATTAAAGATTACTTAATCACTTTTGCAGAAGGAATAACTCAAACAGGCAGAATCACTTCAAGCAGCATATCATAAACAATGTAGCCCAGGCTTTACCCGCAAAGGCAGTGGGCTGTAAATAACAAGACCAGTTTTAAAAGACAGACCCCAAAACTTCAAGTCACCCACTACACACCTTCCAGGAAAATAATTACAATAACATCTTCCTACCCAGCAGTCATTCTGCTTGAGAGAGCTGCAGCATTCCTGATTAGCTCCAAACAGAAGCAGAACCTAGCATGTATGTGGTGTTCTCATGTTGGAACATTTTAGGTCTCAACATCCTTTTTTTTTTCATAAAGCATGTATGAAGACAGAACTCGTTCAAGCCAGTGGCATGTACCTAGTTTAATCTTTTATGAAACATCAGGATCAGCTTAGGCCAAATCACTCCTGCCTGGGAGCTGGAGCTGCTCCCTCCACTGACCCATGTCGGGAATGCATGGCTGGAGCTGCTGAGGTCCAGCCCAAGCTATGACATGGGTCTGAGGCTCTGCAGAGAGTATACTCATTACTGCTAGTGAAGATAACAGTCTGCAAATCCTGTTCATGACCTTCAAGTGTATATTGAGCAACAGCTGAAACAATAAGTGAGCAAAGTAACTGAAACAGTTAGTAATTATTTCCAAATCTTCATTAGAGTTCACAGTGCTTTATAGGCACATAAAAGCACAGATCCTTGTGCTGAGAATAAATAAGCTCGTATCAAGTATTTTTAAATCCTAATAACTGATACCAAATTAAACAAAACTAATTTTAAAATTAACTCCAGTAGATAAAGTGGCTCTTTTTCCTCCTTTTTATCTTCTGCTAGACCCTTGAACTCAGACTTATTGGACAATGTACAAATTATATCATAAACAACAAACAAAAAGCTCTCAAACAAATAAGCAGAAACCAAACAAAAAAAGCAAAAGAGAAGGTGCCCTGCTTTCTTTCAGTAGATTTTTTTAAGTTAGTGTTTTGAATAAGATTAACTTTCAGTAGTTTGGTAGATAACCATTATTTGAAAGTCTCTTTTCAATTATATTTCTGTTATATTTGAGGTGTCTCCAATATGATTTTATTTTTTTTTAATATAAATTTAGAGTGGAGATGTTTTAACATCACAATCTGTTTTTAAAGGTTAAATGCAAAGATGTGATTTTCATCCCCGTATTGCTCACAAATGAGAAACTTCTTCAGAGGTTGTCTTTAGTCTCATTCTTGGTTGCTTGAATACAAGTCTGTGTGATTGTGCTGAGCTTGTGACATAGCCAGCTTCTATGAAACCTATTGAAATCCCCAGGTCTGTTCTGCAAGTGCTTGCCTGACATCTTGTGAAACTGCTGTAATTTTCTTTTGATTACAATGCATCCAGCCTTCTAGTGCTTTCCCAATTAACATTTGTCAAAAGCATTTGCAATCACTTGCAGAAACGTCAGGCAACGCCTGCTGAATCAGGTCCTGGGGAAGAGGGAACTGGTGGGGACAGAGAAAGATGCAGGGGGCAACCAATTACAAGTATCCATCCCCTAACACATTGTGCTAATTACTACAAATTTAATCACTGAAATGTGTATTAGCATTATTACAATTACTACTCAAAACTTAGAATGTTTAGGATAGCTTTGTCTCAGGAGCAAAATACCACTGTAAGAATTCATAAGAACTCTCAAGTTCAGCAGTGAGGTAACAATTTCAGAACACGTTTTGTACCCTGAGCTAAAATATGCTGCTGTCATTATGCAACTTTAGGGAGAGCTATTTTAATGCTATCCATTAAAATAAATATAAAAGCATAGCACCTGTGATTGAAAAATGACCCACATACCTCAGTAGTAGTGCATAATTTAGAAATATATTTATGATCTCACATTTAGAAGAAAGATTTCAAACCACCTCTTTCAAATCACTGAAAAAATACAGGTAATTTCTAAGAAATTTTTCTCTTGAATTATATTTTAAAAAAGAAGTCAGTATATTTCATAATGTACCAAGAAACTTCAGAGAGTGCTGAAGTCTAGAAAAGAAGGTTGAAAAAATCAGAAATGACTGAACACACCACTTTAAGGAATATATCCAGCTTTTAAAAGGCTCATCATTTTGTTTGTAATGACCTGTTGAGAAACTTGATCTGCAAGAACATTCTCCTGAGCTGCAAGAAGACACATGATAGCTGCCACCACCTGATGTGTCTTATTCTGAAAGCTGAGGGTGATGGCATCTGTGGGCTCCCACACACTGTCTTGCGGATCACTTTACCAATATAAGATAATGGCACTGATGATTAATACACTGCAACTAAGAAGAATAAACCCCATGTCAAGGTTTTTAACCTAGTTTTCCGAGTTGCAGAGGTGAGTCTCTACAAGACTGAAGACATGTAATTTTTGTCCAACACCAAAAAAACCTGCTTTTACAACGTGAGATTCTTTTTTGGACCTTTTGACTAGGCTTGACATGTTGAGGAGAAACCCAAAACCTTCTTCTGCCTTCTTCCTTTTTCTTTAGAACAGATGTGCCTCATTACCAGCTAAGAGAGTCTTTATAAAATTTAAAAAAAAAAAAAAAGCGCAATAGGAAGTAAATCCAAAGACTCAAGTTGAGGGTAATTAATTTAATTTGTTTCATGCAGTTCCTAACAGCTGATTTAAACAGTTATGCATACTATCCATTTCTAAAAATGAAGACACCACTGGACTAAAAGTTAACACCTATTTAACAGTGTGATGTCTATAAAAAACGTAACACAATTGCCTAGGACAGCAGGGGAATAGTAACTTCGTTTCCACTACTGACAGTGAAGAGTAGATTTAGAGAAGGCACATAAGCTATCTAGAATTTCTTGGCAAAAGGTTTCTATTCTAAGCAGTCATAAAATATGTTTTAAAAGAAAAAACAACAACAAAAAAACAACCAAACAAAAGACAACCACCAAGCCAAACCCAAAAAAATCCACACTCAAAATACAACTTTGACCTTAGATTTTAAATTGTGCTGAAATGTCCAGGTGTTGTGCTACTTCTGAAAATATAGAAGGCTCTATTTTCATCTCTGGCATCTAGGTAATTTTAAAAATCAGCTGCATAGATTTTTCAGTTAAACATATGCTCTTGTAGGTCAGGTATTTTAATGCATTCGGACACATGAAAATCTATGTGCCTGCATTCATTTTCAAAAGGTTTCATATACTGAGCTGCCGTGTAAAGCAACAGGGATCAGAAACCTGTGCAAATCCAGATTCCCCTGCCTTCTGCTTATTAACGCTGTGTGCCTGGTTTCATGCTTCAGTGAACAGCAGGGAAGTCACTAAGACTCACCTAATTACCTATAGGTTCCAGCTATTATGCTAGCCAGTAGTACTCTATTGACCCTGCCAAACCCCATTTAGGTGAACAAGAAATGTTTACACAGCTATTTATAAATTTATACACTGAAAATGATAACAAATATGCCACAAAATTAGCAAAATAACAGTGATTAAGAAATGTGCTATCTGGTCCCATTATGTTGTCTTTACTTGTACAGCCAGTCTTTAAGCAATCTGCAGTGTATCAGATTCGACATAAGAGTAAAGATCTAATTTACTTAATATGTGCTGCATGACTTTGTTGCAGATTCTTGGCATTATAAAGATTTAGTTGCACTAGTTTCCTATTATTTCAAGCCCTTGGTGATAGTACTATCCAAGTTCTTGTTCTTTCCACATTCACAACACCTGCAGTGACACAATAAAACTTAATTATGGGAATCATGGTACAAAAGGGAAGACAACCTTGGTTTGAACAGTTTGCACAGTTAGCACAAATTGGAATGAGTGTAGATGAAATCCCTCCCTACTGCACTAACACAGAACAAAAGGATTTATGTTATTTTTGTTACCAAGGAAACCTTACAATACAATGCTCATATTCACTTTTTTGGGGGGAAAATTCCCTTCATTCTTCCTGATCTTTTAACTTAAAATTCCTTTTAAAATTCCTATTTCAGTAAGGATTAATTTGGTGCCTTAGATGCCTCCTTCAGAAAGAACTAAAAGAACATAACCACTAAATTTACCAAGGATATAAAAACTCTGGTTTGCTTCAAATTTTTCATAGTGACTTTCTTCAGGGCCTGATATATTTTATTTTATTTATAAATTAAGGCTTTGATTTTGAAATCTAATTTTTACACTTAACCTTAGAGAATGTGCTCTTCTGCAGTATTTCAGTGGTACCTGTCACCTGTAGCTCTGGAAATGATTTCTGCAGCTATGTCCTGTAATTCCCATGAGAAGAGAGAAGAAAAAAAAACAACACATGAAGAACGAGTTTAAGGAGGGCATTCAAAGGGCAGCAGAACCCACTGTCTGGGTAAAACAGCAGCCTGGCTGCAGGATCCACAGATTTAGAAATCTGAGGAGTTCTCCTGAAGATTAAGAAAATAAAGATAGGGGGAGAACATAACATTATACAGCTGCAAGAAGGGAAAATGGCACAGATTTGCAGAAAGGGCAAGGCCACCATTATGTTAATTATAGTGGTATTTCAGAGGTTTCAATAGGCAAATTTAAAAATGAAGAAACAAAAGAAAAAAGGCAGGTTTGGGCTCACAAATGAGTCCACAATTTTGGTGCTAGGAGCAAATGTAACCTCTTGAGCTTAAAAGTGTGACTTAAATGTGACAATTCATCTTTCATGTAGGAAGAAAGGCTGTTGGTTTTGAAGCACTCAGTCGTTGGAAATTATGGTATAGACAAGAACTGAAATCCCAGATGGGTAGACAGGGGAAAAAAAAAGAATCCCTGTGTGTCTATATATCATTATTGCTCTCACGGCAAGAGAAGGAACACAGATTGCCGAGTTCCCCACAATGGCCCCAAGTTAACCATTCAAACAGAAAATGCCAAAACTTCCAATTTTGCAGCACTGACCTTGTGACACCATTCATACTTGATATTAAAGTACTGCTGCAAAAGACACTAAAAGAAGGTTATTTTGTGAGGTGACTTAAAGAATGTTATCCTAACGCCTATGCCTATGAGTGGATGATTAAGAAATATGAGTCAACCACAAAAAGAAAACCAAACCAAATCAGAACAAAAGAAATACAAAAATGCCCTTCATCAAATGTGCTGAAAATCTGACCTCATTCCATAAGAGACAAAAAAATCCTAATCTGTATTACATATATAGATCCTTTAACTGTGTAACAATAGGCTCAATCTAAAATATATACAGGTTTTATGCTGAAACAAAGAGGAACTAAGAATGTAATACAAATAAAACACAAAGCTAGAAACTGCACAATCTCTGCTTGGTTTTTTGGCAGTACATCTCAAGGACAATCATATTAGATAATTTTTCCTTTAATTTAGTAGTCTTTAACTACAGGCAATTGGCTTAGGCAAAAGAAGAAACTAATTGACACATACTCTTAGATCTGCTATGTATAGATCCATACAAAACTGAAATACAGGGTATTTGCTTTATAGAAGGAAAAACATTATAGAATGTGACCATGTTAACATATGCATCACACACTCAAATAAACCTATTGTCTGTATATAGTTTCTAAACTTTAAAGAAGTCCGTAGTGAAAATATATGTACGGATGTCATAATACATTTAAAATCCAAACTCATAAATCACTCAAAAAATATTCCTTTTCTGCCTTCACGGGTGAATGGCCACAGAGCTCAGCTGACAGGCAAGCACCCTGCTCTGTCTTAGACTTCTTGTCCAAGAACCCAAGAACCTAAAGGGTACGCCCAAATCTTCTTCAGATATTAGATGGGATATGGCTAGCACATGTCCTTCAACTTAGGATCTTGGAGATTCTCTCCTAACAAAAACTTTATGAAATGTCTTACTGGAGACCTTTGGTGGTTTACTAAAGCAAAGGAAGGATTCACAAAGCCTTTTCTTCTCTCCCTGATTTTTCTTAACGCTTTCCTTCAATGCAATGATTTATAAGCTTTGCCACACTCGCAGAAGCTGTCTGAACTGTGAAAGCTACTTAAAGCCTGCACCTCCATCTTCTCCCTGTACTATTAAAGCTTTGGAGAATTTAAAATGCATCTTCATCTCAGTTAAACTGAATGAAAAGTGACATGCACGAGAACATATGAAAATGTAAGCTTTAAATTTTTTCTAATTACATAGGAGGAGAGTATGTCTCTTCTAAAAGCAGCCCCAAAGCCTCCCTGAGGAATGTACTACCTTGACGTTCAGAGAGCAAAGCTTGCCAGGATGGCTGCCCTCTCAGTCCCCAAACATCTGGAACCTTCTTGAGCCTGGCCATGCATTGCCAGGGACCTCTCTGGGAAACAGACTGGACAGACTATCACTTGGCTCTGAAGATCACTAATGTACTGGTTCTCAAATGCCTTGTTCTGCTGCATCTTACATAATTTTGTACCTAGGAAAAGCTGTATCTATGTTGGTGTATTTGCGTGTACACTATGTAGTTTGCACTGCTGGGTATGAATCAGCTGCACTGAAGCATAACAGCTGCTTTTCATGTGCAGGAGGCATCATTACTACTTTTTTTAAGTAGAAAAAATAGCTGGTAAACATGCATACTAGTTATATGAGAGAAGCTTTACCTTAATTGCTAAAGCAGCTTATCAACATTCTGTCCCTTGCTGCAAGCATCTTCTACCACTGAAAATTTCTCTTGGTATTTGCACTCCTCTGCTGATGATGGTATGTGGCTGTGCCTGTTCATGTCATTTTCAGGGATTTCTGAGAACTAAACACCTCTGTTTTACTTTCCTCTTCTGGCAGGTAATTGTTCTAACTTCAAGTGAGCTGAACTGCAATTGCAATGAACTTACCTAGAAAACTGCTAAAAAGACATTGGATAATCCTGTCTGACCTGGCATTAGAAGCTGCAGAAAAATATTTATGGTCGGTATTGCACATTAACCCCATACATCTCCTCTGGGACTTCCCAGCACATTGCTCTCAACTGCTGGCGCCAGGAACTTAAAAGGTTTGCATGTATGTTGTAATCAATTCAGAAGTAGGGTAACACTGAATGGATGGGAACAGGCTTCTGCATCTAGTGTGAATGAACTTAAAATTAGGTTAGGTATGTAAGTCAAACTGACTGATGGTATAAAGTAAAGAAATTCTGTCTCTCTTCACAGGTTCTATAAACTGCGTTAACTGTAAAGCTGTACTCAGCACAGGACAGACAAAGAACCCTTCCTTGCCTTTCTGCCAAGGAGATCCAAGACCAAAGATACTGTACCATTGCTATCTGAATGAAACTACAAAGAGGTTAAAGATGAGAAAATACAGATCCTTACCTTGGGCAGGATCAGGTGGGCCAAACTCCAAAGAATATCGCAGAATGAAGTTGTTATTCCATACATACAGCTGGTTGTCTCTGGGGTTGTAATCCACTGCAGCAATGTACTGGTACTGGTTGGGGAAAGGAATGTCCACGTGCTCACCTCTGCTTAGCCTGGTGTTGTAGATGTAATCGATGGTGTTCTTGCCAGTCTCACTCTCATTGTCTTGATACACCGACCGTACTACGTACAGGACACCACATATCATGAAGGCGTTGGATGCTGCCCGTTTGTCGTATGTTGTTTCCCAGGTGGCTTCGAAACGCAGAGTGTAGGGGTTCAGCTGGCTAATCACTATCATCCCATTGTTTTGTTCTGTAGCATAAATTACCCATAAGCCATTTTCATCAACTGCCAAGTCAATATCAGTCTTTCCTCCCCATCGGTAGGGAGAGGTGTCGTGGTAATTTGCATAATTGATTATGGCCTCTCCACTCTTAATTCTAGTCCTCAAGTCAAATTTTACTATGTTCCTAGTTCTTTCCTTGTTAAAAAAGACAGCACCATCATACACTACAAATCCAGTACCATCCACTCGATTTGGGAGTTTATATGTTGTCTGCTGGCGTCCGTTTTGGAAGTCCTCTAAAGAAGCATATTCTATCAAAGTATCAGTGCGATACGGAGTCCATGGCATGAAGTATATTTTATCTGCAGCCTGGAGGGGATCTTTGCACCAAGCACCTGCTTTTTGTTCAGCTTCATATAAATACGGTGAGTCCACAATAGCTTTCAACGTCCCCGGGCAAACAAAAACTAACAGTCACAGAGAGAAGTAAGACAAGAATTATGTCAAATTAAGACTGTCTCATAATGAAGATAAATAAAAGAAGAAAAAAAAAAAGGTAGGTAAATCATAATGACTGTGTCAGGAAGAAAAAAAATCAATTTAATTGGCACTAGATTATACCTTATTTTATAATTAATGCAATTATCACCCTTTATCATCCACTTTTCTTAAAGTTACCATGTTCTTGCTGTACCAGTATGGGAAGTGGATGGGAACTGTTTTCACTAGTACAGACCAAGGCTCAATGGCATACACAGACAGCTGAAAATGTAGAGCTACTCTTGCATTTTCATCTTAGACTTTTAGTGAGTACGCATTAAGGCTCCAGAGCTTTTAACTGGTGTGCAGCAGTGTGCTAGGTCATTTCAGTCCAAAAAAAATCACATCAACTTGTTTAGAACTTTAAGAAGTGGTGAGGCTGAAAAAAGGAGGTGCCTCGATTAAAAATAAAGGAACAAAACAAATCATCAGGTATATAGAGAAAGCAATTAGGAGCAGAGAAAACAAAACACAACCAAAGCAATGAATGAAACAGACCAGGAAACCCTGTAACCATGGCATGCTATGGAGAGGGTTCTGGAAGCCAGGCAAGATGACACTTGATTAACAAGAATTTACCGAAGGGAGAGAGAAAGAGAGGGAAAGAAAGACAAAGAGAAAGGGAGAGAAAAAAGCAAGGGAGTCTTCCCTCCAGCCCAAGTATTTCACACTATACCCCACCACCTACTTTAAGCAGCCAAGTCACTTTATTGCAAACAGTCGACTTCTTTATGAGGTGTACTTATGAGATCCTGTTGATTATCATAATATAAGAGTGTTGTGGGGAGGGGAAGGGAAGAGGTTAACATCCATAAGGCACATAACAAGGAGCTGGGGTTTGGACTGTATACGTTATTTACCTTTTTGCTCCACTTCTATTTTAAGCATCGGAAGAAAAATAAAAAAGTGCAAGGAAAAAAGAAAGAAGATTAACATAAATTGACTATTAATCTAAAGATTAAATTAGCAACAGACGCTAAATATAGGGAGAATAAGAACTGCACTATATTGGATAAAGAGAAACAGACAACAGGAAAACCTAGCAGGAGAGAGATTCTACGGTTACACAAGTGAACATGGATCAATCATTATAGTAGATTAAGGAGGCAATACAGATATGTTGGCATGTAGTTTCACTTAGTGAACCTGAATAAATAATGAATTACTTTACTAAAGCATGCTACACATACTTTTCTTCTCAAAGCATAATGCTATCAAGTTGTTTCTTAAGTGACACATTAATTTATCATATATGTGCAAGTGCACATATACATATTGATTAAATAATTATAAATCCAAAATGTAGTATATTAATTATAAAGGTTTGTATGTGTCCTTATTAAACCTTCCTCCATCTTTGCCCCAGACATCCCTCTGCTTTTCATTCTTGTAAAGACAGCAGCTTGCATCCTTTAGCCTTCGTTAGGCTTTATTTTACTTTTATTCCTGAATGTTAATCTTGGGAATTTTTGTCACTTGCAGTCTGTAACTGCAAAATCAGACTAGAAGGAATAAGCAAAAAGATCTAGAAAAAAGAAGCAAAAGCACAGTAAGCAAGGGGAAAAGAAATTAAAAAATTAACATTTAGCTCATTCAGGTATTCTCCAGCACCATCGATTAAGCCCGAAACAGCAAGCTAGTATGCAAGGACAGTCACACACAGTGTTTAAAACAAATATCCATCCCACCACCATACATGGAAAAATTAAACTGGGTCTGATTAACAAAGTTATATTGCTATAGCAATTTTTCCCCAAGGAAGTTTTAAGGAATATATTACAGGAAGACATACAGCTGAAGTCCAGTAAGTAAACAGTTTTCCAATAATTATTTGCAATAAAATCTATTTTATATACTCAGTAGCCTTTGATGTATGCTCCCTCAGTTTCATCAAATGACCTGGAAAATGACAGATGAATCAATTTGTGTAATAGTAGCTGCTGATACCAAGAAAATGTATCCAAACTATTTTCACAGCTATTACATTTCCAGTGTTACAGTACAATCTTTGCATGTTTCACTTAAACTTTTGGATTTTCAGTTTCATTTAACAGAATTATGTAAGATTATTTTGACAGAATGGTATTGGCTGAGCTGATCTAGTGTTTCTTCAGGGAACAATTACAAAACTTTATGGTGAAGCTTGAGGGGTAAATTACTTATTTTTCTGCAATTTGTAATTCTTGATTTATACAAGTAAACAGAACATATATTCTGAGGTGAATTCCCGGGTTTCAAAATAAATGTTTATGACTTTCAGATTATTCTGTTTGTGAACTTTTACGAGTGAGTTTATTCCTCACCGAAGAGCAACATTGATAATGTACCTGCTTAGAATTAGTAATAGAAGACGAAAAAGATAGGGATAACTAAAATAATTACTGGCATGTCAGCTCTGCATGCATTAGTGTACAGCTGTACTTTTTTCAGGGACCGACAGGTTTACTGAAATAAAAAAATGCTGCAACGTCCCATCAATACAGACAGAGAATAAAACACTTAAAAACATTTTATATTTAATTCCTGAGTCCAAAAAAGGCTTAAAATAAAAAGGCACAGATATAAAAAATGGTTATTTTAATGTCCTTCTTTATAAAAGGGCTGACTTCTGTTATTCAACATACATTGTGCAGCATAACTGAGAGAAATGTTAAGTATGGTACTTTCCATTTCTTTATAATTTACTCAATAACACTCTTTTATTTTAGGACAAAGCATTGCCTATCAAATTTGTCTAGAATTTTAGATTTGTTGGATATCCACATGAATATCTCCAAAAGCTTTTAGTTTACTTTTTTTTTTTAACTAAAGAGGATTGCTTTAGTTAAACATCAGCAACAGGTCTCCACTTTGAGATGCAAAAAAAGGTAGTTTTTCTTTACGTACTTGCTTAAGGAGGTGATGAATAGAGAACCCCAAGAAAGCTCAATCAGTATGAATGATCAGCAAAGCTGCTATGGATTTCTGGAAGTCAGCAAGGCATAGAGGAGCTCATAAACTGCATTCTGTACAAGGGTGACACCAACTCCAGTGTGTAAGAACTCACAGTTTTTACCACAAAACCTGATACAATTGCTGTTTGTAAACTCTCATGGCCTGAAAGGTGTCACAGTGTGACACAGCAAATTTTGCAGTCTTGCAGTAACTAAAGTTCAGAGAAAGTAAGGAACCACAAATTAACTTTGGTTAGCAGTTCTGTTATCACTAAACACCTCCTTTCCTAGACCCACAAATACCTATCCCATCTTCCTAACAAGTCTCTTATGCAGGGGACAGCTACTATTTGCAAACCTAATGATTTCAGTCCTTCCGTACGTTTAGATACAGAGCACCGGAACAAGTAAGGGAGAAAAAAACTGGACTTGGTAACTTAAGTTTATCAGGTGACAAGAAAAGAGACTTGGAAAAGTATCAGGATAGGCTTTGTGGGATAGGGAAGGAAGATGGTCAACAATCAAAATGAGCTTTGAAATCAAACTTCAAAACTGACTGTAGTAACTGGCAACCTTTTTGATGACTGCTGGTAATGACAGGTTCTCTTACAGTTCTGGAATTAGGCACAGTGTCATCGCTGTACATACTGCAGCTGCCAAACTCCAAAACTTTTAGACTTTGAAAAACAAGAAGTATCCAGAATCTGGAGTTGTGATAGACACAGAATTACGTACTTCAGAGGACAAGCCAATGCAATTGACAGTGAACAAAAAAACCCACACATTTTAAAAGTAGAATAACTACACGTTAGAGCATAGGGTAGGCCGCGCTGTGGCACTAAACTTCTGAAAACTGGAAAAGAAAAGATTCCTGTAGATAGCAATACCCAATCGGTAGAACATATCCACACTTCCTAAAACAGCATAAAAAACCATGTTTGAACATTATTTGCATCACACTTTTTCTCTATGAGCTAGCCTACTGGAACTGGAAACATAACCTCTTGTCATTTGACTGACCTCATGGTTTGGAATCAGATGCACTGCCCTCTTTCTGAGAATTTGGGAATGAAAACAGTGATAAAGTAAAAGCAATCTTTGCGGAACAAAGCTTTGGTTAGATTGGGGTAAGACATCACTCCTCAAAAGTGGCACGAGAAGAATGGTTACAACAAGCCACCGATACTACACACAAGAGGAATGGTACTAGGGATCACTGTATGCAGTAGGCTTCCAATCCTACAAACGGTACAGAAAAAAAAATCAGCAAACAACCATTTCACAATGACACAGAAGAACTGAAGAAAAAACAGATGATCTGTGTTTGGTCTTTAACAACAGTGAGTGTTCGATGTGGTGAAGCAGTACAGAGTAGGATTTCGGTTTAAGAAGTCTAAATTTTAAAATTGTGAAGGAATCAGTATGGACAGTTTTGATATAGCTTTGCTTATGGTAGAATTAGTTCCTTTGTTTTTGGATGTATACTGTCACCACAGTGTTTTTGCATCTCAGACTTGGCCTGTTTCCTGTACCAACAAAAAATGTGACTTTGGTTAAGTACTACTGCAGATCAAGAAATTCACGCTTCATAATAACTTAAGGGAATCATCAGTGGACTGCTCAAATTCCAATGCAAACACAGCTATTTCTCTGTTGAGTTATGGGACGAGGGGGAAATCACTGCAAAGAATGACCTTACAAGAAAGCAAAACCAGTTAAAAGTGCAGACTCTGCAGAATTTTTAGAAACATGCACACATGTCAGTGAAAAAAAACATTAATTATTGCAAGGAAATAAAAAGTATGTCTGAAGGTAGTGAATTCCAGCAATAGAAAGAATATTGTACAAAACTGCTGAAGTAGCCATAACTTCAAATTTTTCTACCTCAGTATGATTTCTGCATTTACTTTGTTTGCAGTAAAAAAAATTGTTTTGGCAGATGCTTCAAGGCACAATTCAGATTTTGTCTTTACAGTAAAAATGAACATTTCTTTCTCATTCTTTTCTGACTGTTTTTAAGAACCAAGCCATAATAACTTATTGATGAATTATTCACTCTGAATCTGCATTCACTTATGAATGTTCCCCTGAAGCACAAAGTCCTCTTACAATGTCCCCCAACTGGGCCATTTGCCTCGGAGTGTCAATGTTGGGTTTCGCTGTGCACCTGAAGACACCGCAACAGCAGGTAGCCTTTCAAGTAGATCATGATTAAAATTGAAGTCAATTCCTGCTTTAGAAGTCTGTGAGCCAAACCAATTTGTCAACGACTGGTAACGGGCAAAAGTACAAATTTCTATCTGGCCTATTGAATAGCTAATTCGAGCTTGTTTTCTGCAAAAACAGTAGCCTTAAAAGCCAAACACTTAAGAACGCAGACAGACACTTGGCCAGCATCACATCATGGCTTCCTTCCACACTTCGTGAAGCTAACTGGAGGCCCTAGTCTGCTAGTGCTCTGCATGCATAATGGGCCATAAACATATGCTTCTTTTCCATGTAAGAGCACTCCAGCTTTAATTGTGAGGGCCAGAGGAAGTGAGGAAGAATAAAAAGATTATACTTACTGTAAGGAACACATTCATACTGAACTTCTAGATATTTATATGTTCCAGGACAAGGATCAGGAAACACATCTGACCCAGTAACTACAATACACTGTGTTCGGTTGTTGCACCTGTAATAGAAAAAGAAAGCAAGCTGATTAGTTTAAGTGGCATTTAATGTGCAAGTTCATAGTATTATATACAGTGCTAACTCACTTAACCCCTGGGCAGTCCAGAAGACAATAAAGTTATTTATTACTAGATCTGTTGAAGTCCATAAATAAGGCTCCAATACAATATTTCAGTTCAGGATTTATACTTTTAAAGTTGGAGATTGACGTTATCTCAAATGTCACTTGTTCCCACTGGAAAATATAACTGTCCCAAATATATACTGATTTGATACTAGTATTCAATAAAAGCAAAGCAAAATGCAAAGATGCTACAAAATGAAAAATATGTAATTTTGAATAATGTACCGTAATACAAATAAGCAATTCCTTCCATCTTTGGAGATATACACACTGCTGAATGGTTCTACTTTTTTGCTGTGATTCAAGGAAGTTATGGTTTTGCTTGGAAGACTTATTGCAGACAAAGAGCATTAGAATTTCCATTTAATTACACTAGGAGCAATTGGTGGACTCTAAGCTTCCGCTATTAGGTTACAGGAAGAGGAAAATAATGACTGTATGAGAAATTAAGGTAAACAGTTAAAAAGAAGAACTGCAATAAAATTAATTTTAAAAAATTTTGGAAGATACTAAATACTAAAATGTATATATATGATTTGCTTAACAATAGAAGCCAATGCATTTTGGTACTAAGAACTGTATTACGATGTCCCTAACCATGAGGGTACTAAATGTCATGGTTTATGAAATTACTTGCCTTTTTTTTTTTTTTTAATAGCAATAATCAAGACATTTTAGACTACTATTCATTTTCCTGGGGCCGGAAGGGAAATGCTTGCAAGTTACAAATGCAACTACAATGACCTAATCCTGAAGGGATGGTCAAAATGTAACACAGAAAAAATAGTCAGAAGGAAGTGAGAAAAAAAAAGAAGAGGTCAGGGGCTTTGGCAACTAGAAGAAAAAGAGCTTAACTGATCTTCTCAGGGGTTAGTTTTGTTTGTCAGCAAACCAAATAACAGAAGTCTGAACTTAAGTAATTGTCTAGCCTTTGACTCAAGCTGTACATCAACTTCTCTATTGCCCTACTACTTCCCACACTCCCTGAATGGCACATCCCAAGCTAAAATAATCCATCTTATATCAACAGCTTTCCGCAACTCTACACTGCCAACAGGTATAAGAATAATTTGTGCTACTTCATAAAAGGTAGAGCAAGCTCATTTGAAGAACTCTAATATACATCACTTTCCTTTTTAAAATATTCATCAAACTAGCACAGAGCTGGTCAGGACATACTGTGCCTCTTGCTGAGCGAACTTGGGAAAAACTCTTCTGACTTTATCAGTTAATCCTTCTTTTCTTTTGCTGTCTTTTTTTTTTTTTTTTTTTTTAAGCTACTTATTTCTAGCCTCATAAAGCTCATAATCGCAAAACTAATTAGAAATAGCCGGTGATTTCTGTATACATGCACAACCCTGGGTACCGATAGATGGTGAGGAAAGTCACTTGTCACCTCTGTGCTGCTTGTGGCAGTGACCTTCCAGACAGCACAGGCAGGCTCCTGCACAGCTATTGCGTAGGTAACACCACACCCCTCTCAACAGCACAATAAATTCAGTGCAACAGCTTGAGGAGTGTATTAGGAAGTCTGGAATGACTATGACACATCCAGAGTGGCTTTCAGACCCATGCTGAAGTGATGAAATGTGCACCCAACTGGCAGAGAAAATAATTGTACTGAATCTATAATACTGAAAACATACAATACAGCCACTTTTTTGTACTCACACAAAGGTCAAAGTGCTGCTCTTGTGTGTGTTGTATAGATGGGGGCTGTAGAAGCAAGGTAGGGCAATATGGCTCAAAATGTTAATAGGTATCTCTGTTCTAAGCCCTCTATGGAGTGTTTTATGCCCCATGCCTTGGACCAGACTAATCAGCATGAGAAAACCTCGAATACAACATTTTTTAATTTGTTTCTTTAAATTTCTTTTTGTTTTTCAAGTAAAAACATAATGCTGAAGCCAAAGTAATTCCCACAAAGACTTTCTGTAGTGCATGGTTCAGTATCATGGTTCCCACAGCTCTGAGCTGTATCATATAGGTTTCAACTGAGCTTCTTTAAGACAAAACCCACTGAATTCTGTGTGGTATTTTGTACAAAAGATACTCCACTCTCCATAAAATAGCACTAAGCAGCAGGTTCACCTACAGGGCTACAGATTGTCAAAACTACTGCACTACTGCCATAGCAGAGCTTCATCATTCTGAGAAACCTTTAGACTTAGAAGTGCGATGCCCATTGAAGGGGATATTATACTGTCACAACCTTCAACTCAATCCTGTGACTTGTTTTCATTCCTTTAAGTAATTGGCAAACCCTTTCTAAGTGCAACCACTTAATGGGCTTCTCCAAAACAAGACTCTAGTGGAAATAAAAATTCCTGGCAATTTGCAAATTTGGCCTAGACACTATCAAGAAAAAAAAAAAAAAAAAAAAAAAATCCAAACCCCAAAAACCTTAACTGGCAAATAACTTGAAGTCCCTGATTAATTTTAACCAATGCTACTTTTTCTACATTGTTATTTCAAACTATTTTAGAATTCTTCCAGCTGAAGGCATGATACAAACCAGCTCCAATTTCTGCAAATTTAAGAAGTCAAAACACAAATACTTTAGTGTCTCAGTGTCTGTAATACAGTTTTGAAATTTTCTTTAAGTACCATTTAAGTGTTCTATAGTTAACTGTGTTCTAGTTAACTGCATACTTCTCTAGCGTATGTTAAAATACGCAAATTCTTAGGTTTTATGTCTAATCTTAGAATTCATATGATCTCATACTGAGAAATGCCTTCACACTAAAGATATTCACAAAGATTTATGCTACAATGACTGTTACAAAATCACAGAATTGCTGGAGTTGGAAGGGACATCTAGAGACTGTATCCAGGCAGGTTTTGAGTATCTCCAGAGATGGAGACTCCACAATGTCCCTTTGTCACCCTCACTGTAAGTAAGTTTTTCCTCATATTTAAATGGAACTTCCTATGTTCCAACTTGTACCCATTTGCCCCTTGTTCTGACACTGGGAACTACTGAGAAGAGCCTGTCTCCATCTTCCTGTCACTGACAAGGATATAAAGCAGATCTGTAGAGAACTCTATACAAACTCAGTAACAGTTGATTTGGGAACGACAATATTACTTAAATTTGAAACCCTTGTTAGGAAAAGACTAACCGTAGCATTGAAGGAATGATAATTCATGTTTCTGTGCCAGCAGCAGCAACAGTTTTGCAAGAGGAAATGTAGAAAGTATCACTATTCTCATGAATGCAAGAAGCCACTGTGTACTCCTTTCTTCAGTACTACTTTAGTATGAATGAAGAAAGGTTACATTTTCATAATGCAGACACATCATTTAGAGTAATCTAAAAATCAAATGGAGTGCTTAATTAATAGTTACAGTGCAATGTCTGAACTCCTTTCACCTCAGGAAGAAGACTGTACAAACAAATGGCCCATTCACATTTCAGATGAATACAGAAAGAATGGATAGTGAAGCATCTCCAGCAGGGCTGTCACCAGGTATCTCCTGCCCATGAGGTAGCCATGTCCCTGCTGCATCCATCCCTTTCTGTCCTCAGCTTTAAGGTCTGCTGTACCTTCCATGATAATTTGTTTGCATTTCAACACTAATCTTTACTTGTATAATTTCCAACAAATTGCTTTTGCTCTTTTTTATTATCTTATGCTCATTATTGCACTCTTCCACTGGCAATGTATGGAGATGGTCTTCCATGTACAATCTATTGTGTGAGGTGTTTTAATCAATAATCTTGTTCTGCTGATTAAGCAAGGGCTTCTGTTTTGGCAAGATAACATTAGTTTCTCCTGTCATGCTCCAAACACTATTGGAAATCTTCAGTAGATTATTAGATATGCTACAATAAAGCTTTGGTATGTTCTCTTTTCTTTCTTAAATTACTTCTTCACTGTCCTATCATTCCCCCATCACCACTGGCACCGCATTATTATCACAGCTCCCCTGAAACTTGTACTAGAGCTATGTCTCCAGGCCATAGGATGCCTTTTTCAATTGAAGCTTCTGCTTGAAAATATAAATTAAGAAAATTTCATTATCTCCTGCCAAGGGCCATTATTCACTACTGTTCTAAGGCAGATTAAAAATGCAAAACCTATGGACTTGAACAAATATTACAGCACTAAACTGAAAAACACAGTGTATCATAACTGGACCAGAAAGTGAAGTACTGGAATCTGAGAGCAGTTTCTGGAAAGATATCAGCATTACAAGAATCAAACAGATTGACTTAGGGAAGAGCTGATTTTTATGGCTAAGTCCCATCAGTCATGGAAAGATACACGCAGTTCCTTTCAAAGTGGTTTGCAAAGTTAAGGTATGCAGGAAATAATGTCCACAGAGTTCATCCTTCAAATGCTTTTGTTTTGCATAAATAACTGAAAGAGATGGTTAACGTAAAAGAAACATCAATGTTACTTTGGAAAGACTATGAGTTAATGTCTAATCAGAAATGGGCTACCAGAATAATTTTGGGTTTTCCTAATGCTGCATTTCTGTGAATGCAGTGTTTCACTACGTAAGGTACACACTGGCAAACACAGAAAACAGTCGTGTACTTAACTTTAAAAAGAAGAAGAAGAAAAAAATACAGTATGAAGCCATGTTTAATAAATAAAATTATTTTAAATAAAATTGTCAATACATTAAAAATCTATCTTGCTATGGTTTGAAACTTTTATGTCAGATGTGACAATATTTCTCTTGCAGCATATTGATTAAATACTTAAAAGCTAGCACGATGACATGTTCCTGCATATCGCCTGCAGCAACCTCCTTAAATGCCACTCGAAGGACGTAAAGTGAGTTGTAGCACCACATACTCACATATGGTCCTCTTGTTCCTTATTCACCCTGGGTGAGCTGCAGTTTGAGGTAAAAGAGATGGGAAT